ACAGAAAAAAGTAATCTAAATTTACGAATGCATGTACTGTACTGTAAATACAGTACATACTTGTAAATGTGTATATTTTAATATGATTTTATGTGCTTTAAACACTTTTCTAGTGATATTACTACTTCAATATTTGTGGTGGATAGATGTAAAGTCGAATAAAATGACTTAAACTTGATTTTTATTTTCTCAGTATACTTTTTTGACAAACGACGTATAATCGGGAACGACGTAACTCGAAACAACGTAAGTCGAGGTATAACTGTATTGGTAAATAAATATGTTGGTTGTCTTTATTTTTTTGTTTTCTGTATACTGTATTGAACAAAATGGTTATGCGGTCCATGCTCGTCATTCTCTCAGTTATCTGGCCTGCTGTGAAAAAAGCTTGGTGACTCCTGCAGTAGAGAAAGAATTTTACGTGTTAGATTGGTCATTTGGTGTGATAAACACTTACATAATATAACCTTTGTAGTTAAATAAATCAAATACTATAATATAATAAACATTCAAACAAAAACCATATAAAGAGTTTGGTTATTTCAGCCTACTGTTGTCATGTTTATTGCAATACTTGGATGGTACGAAATGACAATTTCATTGATCAAGTAGACAGCAGTTGAAAATATGGTATCTTAAACTTTTTACAATATCATATTGTTCTCTAATGGTAACTGTAAGAAACTGTNAGAGTTTGGTTATTTCAGCCTACTGTTGTCATGTTTATTGCAATACTTGGATGGTACGAAATGACAATTTCATTGATCAAGTAGACAGCAGTTGAAAATGTGGTATCTTAAACTTTTTACAATATCATATTGTTCTCTAATGGTAACTAAGAAACTGTACCATTCACAGCTAAATATCAAATGGTGGTCTACCAATGAATCAAATTTCGTGAAAAATGGACCACATATTTAAACTTGTCACCCTCAAAAACCACTTAAAACATTTTGGGCTTGCCGGTAACCTAGGATTTATTCAAATGTCACCATACCACTGGTCCACTAGAAAAAAAGGGACTATTGTGGAAGGGGGTTGAAGTAATTTGACTAAAAGTCATTGATCTCCACCTAAGAAAAAGGACAATTAATGGACTACTAATTAATACTGTCTACTATTAATATTTGAAAAGTGATCATTGTTGGATAGGCTGTGATGACCCCGCATGTAATGAAAGTTGCTAACTTTAATGTACAAAAGACTTCATAGACTTATTTAAATAGAAAAAAACTTGTAAAAATGCAAGAATAATTCCTTTTATGTGATGATAAAGTGTTTATATTTTTGCAACAGATTGTATAAACTACATGGGAAGTATGTTCTCGTAAATATTGCATTTATAGAAAAACTAGCAGGTAGGCCCAGCATTGCTTGGGCAAAGGTAACGATAGCTATGATTAATATTATTACGTTATAGTCAACCTTATTCATTTTCACAAAATGCAAGAATTGGGTCCCCCGTTTCCACACTAATTAGAGAATTTTTAGATGGGTCTAAAAATATCTTCGATTTCCTGCAAAAATGAAAAACACTGCACTTTCTCTTAACAATTCCATTGTTACGTAAAACTTCCATTGTTGACACATCCATTGTTGACACTTCCATTGTTACTTAACACTTATATTGTTGATGGAAGTGTTAAGCTTAATCCTGTCCCTCTCCCCCTCGGGGGGAATTTCGAAAAATCCCTTCTTAGTGTGTGTTTTCGTGATGTACCCTAACTATGTACCAAATTTCAGCTTTCTACTCCTAACCGTTTGAACTCTGCGCTTATTATTATTATCAACTCGTCTCAATTATATATATAGATTACTGGGCTGCAATTTGAAAAAATTGTAGACCTATAAATTCCAACTGTCCTCTGCCTGTCTCTATCCTTCCTTAATCTTGAGAAAGAAGTTAGACTGATGAAAGTTGAAACCAAATATGGAAAGCTTAGGGGTAGAAGGCCTGATTAACTATATGTGAACTTCCGATACAAACCAGAAGTCACATTACTTCAATTCACACTTTTCCCTAAACAGAGTTAGTTAGATAACCAGGGGCCATATTCTAGTCATCGTCTCGTCTCTCACAAGCCAATCGCTGATTGGCTAATCATTTGTTTACATATCGAGAGATCATTGCATCTCTCTAAACGCAATTCTGAACAACTTTTTCTCTCTTCGCTTCTCTCATTTATCAGAGACGAGCGGATAGTTGTCTTTCAACCGGCCTATCTTCTTTCGCCTTGATTTTGTTATATCCAATATGGACGACTGGATGCTACTCGCACTGTACAATCGTATTAGAGAATGTTCTCTATCTCGAGAAATAATATTTTGAGAGAGAAAATATTTTGATTTTTTTCCAGTGCCTACTCGGAAATGCCACCAATTCCATTTTTTTTTCTTTTTTAATTATTCTACATCTATTACTGAACTATCGAATATGATGTCAATCTTATTTAGATAGTTAAGGAGAGTTAAGGAAAAATTAAATGGTAATATTTTGAAAAATATCTAAGTACACATGCTTTTCTAACTTAGAGTATTAAAATTTTTATTTGTTAAGAGACAAATTGACATTACAATCTGTAAAAACATTATAAAACAAAAAACATAACTTCATCGAAATTACATGCTTTATTTGAACACGTGCTTTCCTTGCATATGATCTAAGATTATGTACTCTGCATTTTCGAAAATTTTACAATTTCATTGGTTAAAATTCTATACCGTGTTGCATGCGCAGATAACCCGAACATGTATAATCAACCTAATAGTATCGTGACATCATCGACAAAGACGAGACTGTTACGAACGACCAGAATCGCCACTGTGTCTGAAAGACGAATTTAGTCTCTCACTTTGATGTCATTCGTCGGTGAAAGAAGAGATGAGAGACAAGTGACCAGAATATGGCCCCAGCACAACTCTATTCCTAACAGGAACAGTACAATGTATAGGGACAAAACACCACTAAAAGAATTCAGAACATTCTGATGAGAAATTGCAGCATGGCATTGTGATGATGTCACAATAAATAATCACTCATTAGAACTAGTTTGGTTTATTTAGTTATGGCAATGCAACATGTGAGCAATCTGCTGAGGGAGATGCATCCCAGCAGGGGCGGATACACATAGGGACTAATAGGACGTAAGCTCTGGGCCCCCCAAGTGTCAAGGGCCCACAAAAATTGAATTATCATCATAAATTTTTAATACTTTTTCATTATGAATGAGCACTTATTGTATAGTAAAAAATAGTTAATATTAATAATATAATACTAATGATAATTTGTAGTATTATCTGTTTTATTGTAATAATTCTTAATCTAACAAAAAATGAGGCCCCATTGGACTTCAATAAGCCATTGGTCCCAAAAAACCTAGATCCACCCCTGCATCCCAGGAAGATTTTTATGAGAAGCTGGACCCATTTAGGTGCATTCAGGTGTTACTGATGTGAAGATGATCCAGAAAACTCCACATGGTCAGCCCGTTGAAAATGCTTGAACCCACAACTCAGTAACTACCAGTGTTCGGTGATTTTATCCACTCAGCTACTAGACGGCACTTATTAGAATTAAGAAAGTGACATTCAGAAATGAAAAAACCCAAGTCATTAGATGTGGAAAATTAAACACAGATTTTTCACAGGATAACACTTACAATTCCAAGGAGGCAAGTGCTATATGATACCTGTTGCAGTAATGGTACAGCACATCTATTTCACACTATATCATTATTGCAATAATTAAGTGAATATAATATATATTTTTTAAAATTATATTCCTTTTTTGTAAGAATTATATTTAGTTTATTATTTTCTTAAATTTTTTGCCAATAGATAGCACTATGTGTAAAGCCAGTAAATATAATGTAGATAGAAATTAATTGATTTATAGAAATTGAATCGATATTTTGGGGTGGAATGTATTACATTATCTAATTTAGAAGTATGTGAACATAACTGTCAAGTTTTGTGGCAACTGTGGTCAAATAACCTAGGAGTGTATAGCAAACATATAAACAAACAAACATCCTCATTTATATATATAGATAAACTAACACAATTGAATTAATGATCTCTAGAGATTGCTAGTTATTACATCAAATCTAAGATGCATCATATTTCCAGAAAGACTAAAACCATCTATCTACCTTCATCATGTTCAAGTAAATATAGCATTTCCTTATATAGAATGGTTAGAATTAAACTGGTACTCAAACATACGTGGAGCAAGCTCTACTGGACCAAATTGAATGAAACTCGATATACATGCAATGCAGATCATGGGAGGGAATTTACAGGAAAAAAATTAGTTGAAATTTTCACTACAAGAGGAAAATGTGGTGCTGTTCATTAAATTAAATTTGGTTCAGCTCCATGTGTGTCTGAATACAATCAGTTAAATTCTAACCACCCTGTGTTATAAAATTTGTATAATTTGATTAAAATATATCTTTAAATTAGTAAAAATATATATCAAGAGATGAAATATTTTAGTAATTAAAAAAATTTTTACTTATTTACAAAGTATATTTTGTATATGTTACAAAGCTAACATTATTTTTAAAATTTATTTAAATTATTTATATCAAATTACAGCAGAGACTCAATTATCTGAACTTGAAGGGAAAAAAAGACTTTTGAATAATTCAGAAATTTGGTTATATTTGCATTTTGGATACATAAAATGCTGTGTATTTAAAGTTTCATGACAATAATACTGTAATGTAATTACTACATTTGAAAATAAATTAACTTGCTCAAAATCTAATATAATTTTTTGAATATAACCTAGTTTTTCTGCACTACCATTGACAGATGTAGTAATATTTTCCAGTTACATGACAGTTTGTCTCTGTATATTATATTCGGTAGTATGTACTGTACAATGCTACACATTCTGGGGATTTTATTTTGGAAACCATTTTGAATAATCAGGTTTCAGATTGTTGAGTTTCTACTGTATGTAGACTTAAAAAATATTATTATTGAATACTTACTTATAAAACCACGTGGACTTTGTTGTATACTTTTGAAGCAAAATACACCAGTTGTAACAGCATCTTCACCTAAACATTCTACTGGCTGATTTCTTTCAAGATCAAAAGTAGAATAAGCACCGCATACATCGTCACCACCATTTCTATCCTGATCCGAACTACACTGATAGCATTTAATGCTTCTACCTATAGAAAATTTTCAAATTTATAATTTTAAAATAACACATATATAAATTTCCCCTGTAATATAGGGATTTTTCGTTAGATTTAGTAACAAACATTTTACCATTGGATTTCTTTCGTCACGTGGTAACCAGAAACGCTTGTAATTGGACGTATCAAAACGAGGCGCGTTACTATGACGACATTTGTAACATGTGGTCGTTTCGCAAGATGTAAACATCGTTTTCTACATTAGAAATGTTTATCGAAGAATTGTTTAATAATGCCACAGAAAATTGATTTTAGTGTGGTTCAAGTAACAGGAGAGGATGAAGATTATCCAGCTTCTGAATTAAATTGTCATGCACCGACTGTTAAAGGATGGCAATCTCCTAGGTTTGGCCATTTTGTATTTTTCTTTCTTTTTTTTAAAGGGACATACAATTATACATACACATAAAAGAATAACTGAAACATTACCTAGCAACACATTTATTTAGAATTTTTCGCCATACATTTTTCAAATAGTTCCAAAAATAGAAATGTTATTATTTCAGTGTAATTATAGCAGGTATTTAAATATAGCACCTGTGTATTGATTCTACAGTTGTAAGTTTAATTAAACAAAATATGTATTCGATCTAAAAATATATATATATTCATTATTAGGTAACTTGTTCATTTTTAAAAAGTTTCTTGAAAATAATTGCCTTTTTATTACAAAATTTCAAAATTATAATTCATCATTTGATGATTTTAGAATTTAATTAAATAATTTCCTTCTTCTCAATAAATGGATTGATGACTAAATCAAACAAATATTAATTCTTTTGCCTCTATGTCCTTACTTTATTATATCATTGCCTATATTGGACTTTGTATATTAATATGACTTATTACTAGACAGCGGACATATAGGCCCTTAAAAGTGGCATTTTAGGCGCTTAAAATAAGCTCTTAAATTGCGTCGTTTAGGCTTTATAAACAAAAAAAATAGGCGGTCAAAATTTGCACAATGAACAATTAACGTACTTATCAGGACAGTGAATTTTTTATTTAACATAATGTATTCCAAACAAAAATGCATGTATTCAGAATGATGCAAACACAAAAGTAGACAAACAATTATCTTTATATTTTTTATTCTCTTTGTTTCCCATAGTTAGCTTCATAATATATTACAAGCACTTTTTCCAAATTTTTATAATTAAAGAACAGCATTCTTCTTTAAAGAAGTTCATGCCAATGTGCTCGTAGCATGCCTTCTATGCCCAGATATACCAAAAGATGGTCAAGACTTTAGTGAAGTATTAGTGCCAGGTTATTTTGTGTCCCAGGCAAAGTTTATAAGTGTGCCCCTTGTTTTACAAGTTGGATATTTTTTAAAATAAAATTTTTATATAAAAAATAAAAATTATTTTGGCATGCTTTATTAATAATATACAAAGTAGTATACAATATGTAATCCGTCTAAAAACAGAACCTTTTTTAATTAATTTGAAAATCGTTTGTTATAATTCATTTACCAAAAAGTTATAAAATACTGAAATTTAATATTTTAAAATGTTAATGTTTTAAAATATTTATCTTAACTGAATTTTAAATAGTGGTTGGTTCAAATTATTTAGGTAAGGAACAAAAAGAACAAAGAGTTCAATAGTAAAATAGCGTGATGTATGAGGTATAAGGAAAAAGAATTGATACCTAAATCATATGTCACTATTTAATTTAATATTTTAGTAAAGTATGAATAAAGCATAGCTTGAAATTTTGTGCCCCTTTATGGCTTGCTCCCTAGGTGGTTCCTAGTTTGCCTAAATGGTAGTACTGGTCCTGCATTAGTGTNTTTTTTGTATTATTTTTTTTCCATTTGATTTTTTAATTTTTCTTAAACAGGGAGTTAAACTTCAAAAACCATCCATGTACACTAATTTGTTACAAACTACAAATCAAATGATAAATATCTAATATTTGTATTAACCATCATAATAAACTTTGTCCATCCCTTACCCAATGAATGAATTCAATACCTTCTCCCATGTATACTAATTTAGCATTAAATTTGTTCCATGGCCACTTTTTCCCTTTCAATTTTGCATCCACCAGTGGCTGAGAGGATAAAACCATAAAACCCTGATAGTTTGTTGTGGGTTTGTGCCTCACCAATTAGCTGGCCACATGATGTTTTCTAGTCTTTCGTCATGTCTAACACCCAAATAGGGGCCAGTTTCCCCATAGCATCATTGTACGAAGCAGCATCATCAGCAGAGCACCCAAGTTTTGTGTTGCTGTATCCTATCAAACCAAACCCATACACATTTTCAAGTTAGGCCATCTGAAAAAGACTGCTTCCCTGCAAGTCCAGCTTCTGCAATTCATTCAGTATGTTAAAAAGTCAGGAAATGGGGAGATGAAAAGGACTTGATTAGTATTATATTATCCAACAAAGGAAAAATACCAGCTATTATTCAAAGATTATCATCAAGCATTGAGAGTACTTTAAAAGATATTCAAGCCAAGAGTACTACTTAACACTGTCAATTAAAGTTAAAGCTTTCAGAATTCTAAGGATCTTCCATTTTGCTTCTTTTTCCAAATACCAACAAAACAAATTCCTCCATGACTTGTTTGGCTCTCCAAAGAAACTAAGGTTAGGAGGCTTGTCAAGTCAGTTTTAGAGAATAATTTTTCACCAACTGTAGGAATGGAAGAGAAATTGGAATCTTTCCTCTAATCTCACCTCAGAAATTTTTGTTATCAACAATTCATATACTGTAGTTAAGCAAGTTCAGCAGCTCAATACATCAAGGAGTAATCTTTTTACAGTGTTTGATTATAAAAGCCTATATCCTTCTTTGAAGCTTAAGGCCATATACACACTTATTACACTTATTCTATGGGTGCGTTTACTTCTGAGTTAGCAGTGCTAATTCTGATAACCGGATGTGACGTTATTCGTGCTTGCTTGTCCAATTCGAAAGTGAACACATATGCTAACAAGAAATATGGCGGTTTCAGCCATATTCCAGCTATATGATGGACTGGAGTTAAATAATTTCATAGTATGTACACACTATTGTCTATTCTTCATACTTTCAATTTGATATTAAGTATTACACACAATCAATGTTTCAGCTCCTCCATTGTTGGACAGTTTGCCAAAATCTTCTGTTTACTGAGACTCCAATCGTTAGAGCTTTAAGCAAATACATCACTGCAATTTTTTAGTATATCAATTCCCCCTTGCAGTTTGGAACAACCAGAAGACATGTGTTTTGTTTGACAGGTTAATTTAAACATAAGTTCTCTCCATGAAAATTGACCAGGTCCATAAAACTTCAATGTATTATTCAATATATATTGACATCAGAAATCAAAGGAGACTGAATCAAAACAACCAATAATAATAATTCTTCAGCTGTAATCTCTTAAATCCATTTTCAAACTCATGACTACTTTAAGTAAAACAAGACTCTGACCCATTTATTCTCTTATACATCGTGCTTTTCTATATTTATTGGCAACTGCTGACATGCCTACCAAAATCAAGACAATTACCAATATAGATAAATCTTTTACCTTTCCATTCCAACTTATCCACAACTGGTCCAATGACATCAGTGCCAAATTTTCCAAAATACAAAGAACATGACAAAAACAGGCCTTCCCTTAATATCAACATTATGGAACTAGAGGCTACTAGAATCCTCTCTAAGCATTTCAAAGACAAAAGACTCAAAGAAGGAACAATTATCCACTATTTAGTTCCTCATTAAAAACGAAAAAAAAAAAAAAAAGCCTTTTTTCTAACAAACAATTGGAATGAGCTTTACAAAATTCCAGTATATAGGTAATAAGAACAGCATGACTTTTTATCTGGCTAGCACTTGCCATACTCTCCAAATCAGATTAAGAGGCTAAGAGAGTATCTAAAGCCCTGGCTTTTGACCAGTTGGTGTGCAACCTTTTGTTGGCAGAAATCTGAGATCATCATACTGAACACGAGATAACTTCCTATCAAATGGCAAAAATCTGGCTATTGTGACATTCTCTCTTCCACTGAACAAATGCAGACAAAGTAATAATTTGGATTCCTGGGTGTGGTTGTTTTTATCTCTGACCCTGATCACACAGTTGATCAGTTCTCCTTTGTAGGGTGCTCACTATTTAATACCCTTGAAAATTATAATAATGTTTAATTGTAATTAAAATATTTTTTTATGTGTAAATACAGTAGAGCCTCGAAAATGGCCTAATGTGGACCGAAGGGTGGGCGAGTTTGTGAAAATGCCGGGTTATCGGGAATGGGGTTAAAAAAATAAGTATGAGTGTTTCCTCAGAAAATACTGTACTGTGCTTGTATGTATTGTTTATTTGAGAATACAACAGGGAATACACTGCCCAAATACCCTTAAACAAAGGAAAAGTACATCCTTTATGAAGGCATAGAGCCTTTACTACATGAAAATGAAAATTAATGAATACACTGTGTACAGTAATTTACCTGATAAGACAGACCTCAGAAAAATAGTTTATGAGGCATAAAGCTGTCTATAATGAAAATTAATTAACTAAGGATTTTTTTTTGCCCTGCCAGGGTGTGGCCGAGTTATCCGGAGTGCCGGGTTATCGAATGCCGAGTTTTCGAGGCTCTACTGTATATATTATTAATTCTTTGAGATTCTCAAGTTGATTACAGACTGATTTATTATTTCAAGTTGTTTTCTGTGTTAATGTCAACAATTATATTTTTTTGTCATGTTGACGAAACATTTTTTTATCAATTCTCGCTGACACATTCTCTTGACGTCAGCTAGAATTGTTCTACTTAAATTATGTTGAATAAATATGATTAAGTCCAGAATATTTTGTACTCTCATACATATATCTGGTTGCATCCTTTAAAATATGGTCTCATGTATCATTATTATTCTGTAGGTTTACAAGAGTTTTGTTATAAATTTTTTAAAATTCAATTATATGTTTACTTGCAGTATTTCATATTCTAAATGTTTATTTATTAGTGATTCCAAATTGTTGCAACAATTTTATAGCTTGAAATATAATTTATTTACATTGTTTATCTAGTTCTAATAATAACCTGAGCCTAATGGATACAATTACAGTACCGATCAATCAGACTTTAGCACCTGACATTATCAAACTAGTTTTAACTTTTATGCTATTTTATTTCTCTGGATATTCTTCCAAATATGGGTATAATCTTCCAAACACAAGTGTTAATTATTTATGCTTCCAATAAAAAATTTTATTAATAAATTCATTTCTTAATTTACATATACTAATAGAGAAATTATATTTAATTTTCAAAAACATAAGTCTATATTAGTGATTCCCAACTGGTGAGTGACAACATGATGGTATGTCACAAGTAAAAAAAAAAACAATTAAAGAGACAAATTAAAAAAAAAAAACAATATACTTCTGTGTATTAGTATCAACTCTATTGCATTCTGAAGTTTGTACCAGTAAACTATTATAGAAAAAGTATTGAAGAGCTCTGAACAACCTGTTGGCTGGTCAAGCAATCTTTGCATGATAGTTAAAGCCCTTCACTTTTAAATTTGTGAAAAAAATTCAGAACTATTTCTCAAGACATTGCTAAAAACCAACTGTTTTCCACTTTACCAGAGCCGACTAAAAGATCATAGACTAAAAGATCATAAAACACGAGAAATGTACAAACTACTTCTAGAGTATAATTGGAGTTATGCCATATGCTCCATTAAAGTCTATTGCACATTTGAAATTGGTGTATTTCGGAGGAATATACCTCACAAATGATCACACATAAACCATCAACTCCTCCGACCTTTTTACTCCTTTGGGCATGAGGTCCCAACTGCCTCATTCAGAGGCGCAGTTGTATCGGTCCAAAAAGATTGGAAACCACCTATATTATTCAATAACCATTATTTAATAAATTCTCTCATTCTCCATTAATATCAATTTCTCATTTGAAGCTTTCCATATTAAATTTAGCAAATTTTTGTGTAATTCATCCATTTTCTTCTATCAAAATTTATTTACAAAAATTAATATTTTTGAATAATATAGGAATACAGATAATATATATTTTCAATAACAAAGAAACTACTACTTTGTAATCAAATATATTTCAGCAGAGGGCAAGTTTAAAATTGAGGTGGCCTATTTTCATGCTCATGTTCCCTCCAGCCACCTTATGTCAGTGAATTTACCAAAAATAAACTGAATCAAAATAGAAAGTTTCCTATTAAAATTTAACCATATTTTCCTTCACATTACAAACTCGAAATACTGTTATTATATTCACGAATTAAAAACGTGTACAACATAATTTTAAACTGACAAATAGAAAACAATTAAACTGAACACGTGACATCGAACACACCCGTTAATTGACAAACTGCGACAGAATTTAATTTAATTAATATATTAATTCATTGATTAGAATTTAAGATATTTTTATATATTTCATTGTTTAAAGTATCGGTGGCAGACGACCCACCCAGTTACCCGTTGAGCGGCGCCATGACGTCTTTTACAAACAACAGAATCGATGGAATAAAAATTTTTTTGATTTATAATAAAAAATCTTACCCGACAAGAAATGTAAATATAAACTATAAACTAATAATAAACCATTCCAAGTGATTAACATCCTCATGTCTCCCGATCTTCAACCGAATTCAATGCACATCGGGCGGATGAACTATCAACGAATTGCTTCGTAACCGCTGACAAACATCAACAAAGTATCGAAAATCCGGTAACTTTATGTATACCGTTTCTAATATTCGTTAGTATTAATTAATATTCGCGCGAGCGAAGCGGATAAAAATATAAATAAATTTAAATTGTTTGAATTTTTTCGAATAAATTTTTTAAATTGTGTTATTTTTAAAAAAATCTGTTCGTTTACGAGTGCGACGCCAGCGCTCCAAACGACATGCAAATAAAAATATGCCATCTTTGTTTAAATTTATTATTATTATTATTTTTTATTTTAAGGTTTAAACAATGTTTAGTGTTTTATATTTTAACGACTGTAAATAAATAAATATAGTTAAATACAGTAATGGTTGATATCATTTATTTAAGAGATCGCTAAAATTCATGGAAGAACAGTGATACCAACTTAGGGGTTTCCCACTAAATTTAGGGGAAAATCAGCAGAATGGAAGGAAATTTAGGAAGAAAAAGTGAAATCTGCATTTCAGGTTTGTTTAGGGAGTTTTCACGGCAAAAGATTGGTAACAGTGGGAAAGATCAATTGAAATTAACTCAAAGTATAGCTCCTTCCTAGATGATGCATTGGGATACAAAGTCCAATAAGATGCTAGGCATCCAACAAAAAGAAATCGGCCGAAACCAAATGAAAGTATCCAGTTCGAATCAAATGATAGAAGTCACAATGGAAACTGGCAAATTCTCATGTTTTTCTTCTTCTTTCGCACGGCAGTTATGGCCAATGCCTTATCCTTCGAATAGCCGCAGCTAAAGCTGCAAGTCTAGTGGAGCTAGTGCTTCAATAAAAGCAGAGTCCAGAAATTCCATGCTTATACCAAGTATAGGTTGGGAGAAAATAATTAGACATTGAGAAATCGCTGTAATTTCGATATTTCTAAATTAAAGACGATAAAAATTATTCAACCTGTACAATATTAAATGGAAATACAGATGCATCCGTAAAATTCAATGTAGATATCGATGCCATCCAGCAAGACATGTTTTCTTCACATCATGATGTGGATAGACAGCCGCTTCTCTCTGCATCTACAACCGAATTTATGGTCGTTAGCTTCGAATGACAATTCTTGATTGTTTTCAGATGGACTAGAGCATGACGTCCCTTAATAATAAGAGTCGAAACAATTGTTGGGATAATTTTCGAGATATATGAATATTATTTTTTCATTTTAAAATTACTGTAATTATATAAGCTATTTAAATAATTCAGTGTTAACTATGTACCGGTACCTTTTGTGGTGGTATTCCTAATTGCATTAGAATGACAATACATTTTTTAAAAACCACCAAACATCGTTAGTTCGTCGTGGGTTCAGGCATGGTCGACATTGTGGAGTTTCCGGGTTTTCTTCACGTTAGTAACACCTAAATAGAGTCCAGCTTACCATAAATTCTTCCCGGGATTCATCCCTTTCTGCAGATTGCTCACGTGTCACGTTGCCGTAACCAAATAAATCACACTAACTCTAACAATCGATTGTTTATTGTGACATGGTCACACTGTCGGGCTGCAATTGTTTCGTCACGATGTTCTTAATTCTTTAAGCGGTGTCTTGCGCCTGTACATCATACTTTTCCTGTTAGCAATAGAATCGTGCCGGTTATCTAACTTCTTTAGGGGAAATTTTTGAATTGAAGTAACGTAACTTTCGGTTTGCATCGGAAGTTCCTCTATAGTTAATCGGGGCCTCCTGCCCCGAGATTTCTATATTAGTCTCGACTTTTATTTCATTTACGTTTGTAGCAATTGATCAAACGGTCTAGGAGTGTATAGCGAACAAACAAACAAACATCTTCATTTATTTATATAAAAGAAGATGACCTTATGATAATATATAATACGTGTTTATAAAAATTCTTAAAATAAAAAAAATACAGCAGTATATTCCAAGATAAACATCCTAAGTCAAATACGAAAAAAGGAAAAAAATAATGATAAAAATGATCATGCATAAATGTGTGTACTGTATATGTATATATAGAAATGTACAGTAGTTGATTTTCTGCATACATATTACAATGCAAATACAATACAGAGACAATTTAGATTCTTTAAACTTAAACTAATACTGTATTTAACATTTTTTGAACAATGACAACTTCTATATACTGTATATTTAAAGCTAAAAATTTATTCTTTCTGGGATTTTTTTCATGTATATATCTATATCTATATCTATATACAGGTAACCCCCGTATAACACGATAGTTACGTTCCAAAAAATTACCGTGTTATGCGAATCCGTGTTATACGAAACAAAGAACTAATACGAAAAGGAGGGTTAGGTTCCAAAAATTAAAAACATTGCTAGTATATTTTCATAATTAAGATAAGTATCTTCATTAAAATTTTTTTAAGTGATACATATTAATATAAATTAAACAATGTTTTCTTCGTCATCACTAAAAACACTATTAATTAACCGAGAGCGTTTTCTTTTTGGCANTCAGTATCCTAGAACAGAGAGAATACCAATTTAAGTCTTTTAAAAAATAAAATGTGACAGTGACCTGATAGAATTCAATTTGCTTTTATAAATAGGGAATAGTTTATTGTTTTCATTGATAAATAGGAAATGATTTTCTGAAAACAGTGGATGGAGAATCAGAATCGAGGAGTCCTTTCTCCTTACGTTTAAAAAAATCCAGAAACGAGTTGCTTAACTTTCCAGACAACATTTAAAACTGCGTGTATCGCGACATCTTACGATATTTTATTATTTAAAACTTTTAATATTATTAATTAATTATTATAAAATGGCCAAAAGCTTAATTTTGAGGCTGGTGGTGTGTTTTTAATAAGAAAAATTTGTAAATGCTAATAATAAGGAGGAAAATCGTAATTCATTCCGACTCTATTCGAGATACGACACACGATATCTCCGTTTATTTCCCCAACCCGTTCACCTTTAAACAAGAAAATTAAACAGCATCAACCCCCTAATACAAAACCTCCCTGCAAAATATCAAAAATTTTCGATAAAAAGCACAGAAGTTATTAAACTTCAAACAAGGTGAACAAAGTCGTGCCCCACACTTACACACACACTAACACTAACAGAAAATATTCCGAATTTTTTCGACGTTTTAAGGTGTCCTAAATCCAAAAATGTATAAATATTGGAGGTGAGATTGTTATTTTTTTTTTTTTTGACCGATCGCCATACATTTCCTCTGTTATATATAACTGCTGAGAAAATAAACATTACAGTATTTAAAATGTTTGCTCTAATACTCAAATTATTACTGTAGTGCCTTGCCCCTGTACATCATACTTTTCCTTGTATACAGGTGTTGTGCCGGTCGTCTATCTAACACATTTCCCGGATAAATTTTTGACAGTGGGAATTTATAGGTCTACAGTTTATTTTTTCAAATTACAGTTTAATCGCTACAGTTAACTCTTGAATAATGAAAACAAATTATTTATCATATCGTTCATAATTTGTATCAAACATCATTAATATTTAGTGACCCATGACCCTTTCTTGTTTAGAAACAGAAATGAATGACATAGTAGAAATACAGTCGACCCCCCTATAACACTGTTGATAATTCCGTTTTATATAAATTCCATGTAGTACGAGTCACTTAGATTTTACAAATACGTGTGCCGGGCTGTGAACGGCTCACGTATTTGTAAAATCTAAGTGACTCGTATAACATGGAATTCATATAAAACGGAATAATCAACAGTGTTATGATGGGTCGACTGTACTTAATTACCAAATAGACCATCTTACTTATCCATTATGCTTCCAACAAAACACAATCCAGAAGAAAGATCAACTGATTTACTCAAAAGAGAAGAAAAAGAGGGTCTTAAATGGTCACAAGAATTTGCTGTTGCAATTTGCATTAGACTTATGCATAATCTTTCAGATATAAATATTTACAGCAAAATATTATTTATTGAATTATTATAAGAGATATATCTCTGAGGGGGAAAAAAACGTAAATCGAGTACGTGTTAAACTAAAGCGGCCCCAGCGTGTGACATCACACAACTAATATTATGGCCTGTATAATCTATACAGCCTTGATGCTTTCCTCTGTCGTTTTTGGAGAATGCCAGTCAATTACCTTCGAATTCATGCAATATGTGTTATTATAAAGTAACAAAATTGATTGTTGCAACATCATAAGAACCCCTGGATACGCCCTTCATGCTCAGTACTTGCGGTAGGAGAAGTAAGGCCATACTTTTTCGAGAACTCAATAATTAGTTGGATGGTTGCTTGATGAGATAAGGCAATGCGAACAAATGGGCAATCTGCCAAGGTGGAGTGCCTCCCATGAAGATTTTCTATGGGAAACTGGTCCCTATTTGGATGAAACTCAGAAAACTTCACGTAGCCAACCCGTTGGTCTTATGCGAATTCTATTATTAATCATAATAAATGAAATTGTCTGTGACGCCATCTGTTAGGAAATTTTGTTATGAAAAACTGTTTATGTTATTAATTAATATAAAATAGCAAAAAAGATTAATTTGAGGGTAGATTGGAGTTCTATTTTTAAAAATTGTAGATGCTAATAACGAGTAAATTCATTAAGTCCGACCCTCTCGAGATATGACATGATTTACCTCTAACTCCTTGCTCCCTCGACCTTTAACCTCCAAAATTTAACAGCATCAAAGTCCCTTATATACAAATTATCATGCCAAATTTCGTTTCTTAATCTTCACCCCATCCTGAGATATTAAACGAAATACACGCCAAAACATATAAACACACACAAATATCCTACATATACAGAAGGTCGATCCGCGTATGTGTCCAAGTTTGAACTAGCGCCTATCTTATGAAAATTCACGGGACCACCATCAGTTAGCCTCAATGTGATTACTGTGTGTCTTGGCAATAGCCCTGCACCATAACTTCTATTGTAGGAGGCTATGACGAAGTACAGGAAGTGGAATCCTCTGCCATTCCTGCTGACAGGCTTTCCACAGGCTTCGAAGAATGGTGACATGATGAGAGGAAATTGCTCTTTTCAGTAGTCTAAACCCGCAGAAATCCATAGGACTTGAATCTGGTGACTTCACTGGTATATCGTGAAATGGAATAGACTGGATGCCGGTGTCTTGCGCCATCTATTGCAGAGAGCAACGGGTAGAATGAGACGTATGTTGAGAAGTCTTATCCATATGCACCCAGACTTGATTGATGGCATTTCCATACTAAAAAGCAAATCGTCTGTATAAAGTGGGGTGAAGATATGTTACTGATAAAAGGCCGAGTTGATTTTACAGTTTTTAGGGACCTGACGAATATAGTTAACCGGTATGGGCACCCTCGGAATTTGGCAGCCCGCGTGCATGCACGCACCGCACACCTAGCAGGAATAAGAATGGCTTTGACAATTTAGCTGGCAAAAGACACGAAAAATCGTCCATTCTTTCGTATTTGAAGCAATTTAGAAATCGAAGCGGAATAGAATTTAACATTAGTAAATAATATAAAATAAATACTGAAAACTATAACGAGATAGTTACGGCTAATAGATATATTTAAATTAATAGATGTTATATATTATATCAAAGCAAGAATCGGCATTTAGAGGGCATAGGGAATCTATTGAATCTAAATAACATATTGAACTTTATTAATAACTATTTATTAATTACGTCAGATAAATAATCTATTAAAAATACATTTAAAAAATTAACTGATCGCCCCTGGAAGTAGGCTTCTTACAGAAACACGGCTTCCCTATCATCAAATGTCACGGCACCGGTATACCGGGTATCAGTTTTTTACTTTTTAGAGTTCAGACGTGTCAAAACATCACACGCTGCCAAAAACCCGTAAGGTCATATGTGACGCGATTACAATATTATATTACAACAGCCGGAATGTTACGTTAAAACATTCGGGAAAGTAACGAGAAAGTAATACTTTCCCATATTATAACGTAAACCGCTGATATATGTGCAATTATTGTAATAATTTACCATGCCTTTAACTTATATTGTATGTTACACACGCGTTATAGTGAAATGTACATATATTTTTCCTTTATTCCTCCGGCATTTGAATTTCATTGGACGACGCTCGGTCACGTGTCGACAGGTAAATTGTTCGGTGTCGATGCTCAAACATAACATAGGTGAATGGCTGCTACCTGTTCGTAAAACTCGTATTTAAAATCATGAATCCGTCCATCATTCTTACAGTTTCTATTTTATTCTTCTTCTTATTAACAATACCCGATTATGGTAAGCGTTTTGTGTCATTTTTTTCCATTAATTTCTCACGTTTAAACGGTAAGACAGGTGAGTAATGCTTTATCCTACCCGAGCCAACGCCTTATCAATGAGGAGAAGCGAATTTCAAATTTAAATTTTTTTATTCTTTTTTTTTTTAAATTTAACGACTGATTTATAACTGGATAAGTAATATACAAATAATTATACAACAATAAGAACACGTGTAAGCATTGATTGATGTGTAATTTACCTGAAAATGCAGGTAAAGAGTAGTAAAATATGTCTGTGTATAACTAAATGAGCTGTTTTTTACTCAGAAATCTGGAATAATTTAATGTATGTGTACATAAAAATATTTTAGATCATCAGTTTTCCTGTATAAATGGAGAATTATGTAGAAAATCATTGGAAGTGCTGAATAATTTATTTGTATATGAACACATTTTGTATTTGTATATGAACACATTTTGTATTTGTATATGAACACATTTTGTATTTGTATATGAACACATTTTGTATTTGTATATGAATACATTTTGTATTTGTTTATGAAATTCTTTAACTGATTTTTATTTAAAATTTGTATTAAATGAATTGATAAAAAATTAATGAAATTTTAAAGGTTTATATTAATAATCTCTTGTCAATATCTTGTAATTTTTGTTATTTTTATATCAATAATTAGATGGATGACATTACAATATTTTAATTATAGTTTTTAAGTATATACTTTAAACAATAACTTCAACTTATTAACTTCTGCTTTTACTCTTTTCTCACTGTGGACAATAAAAGAGTCTTTTTTCTATGCCCACGAATAGGGACATGGGGTAGTCAGATGGTGAGGGATGGGGCTCAACATATCCAGATGGATCCTCCCAAAAAATTCTTGGGGTTTTTCCATTATCTGGAGTAGTAGGCTGACACCTTAACATCTAAATAGGGGCCAGTTTTCCATAAAACACTTCCCAGGAGGACCCCCTTGACAGATCACCTATATTTCATGTTAACATTAATAAATATTGGTAAAATTGACTTGCTATTTAATTAAAATTTTAATTTTATTCAGGACAAATTTCAAATATAAATAATAAAATGTGATTACTATTAAAATATTTAATTTTTCTAAAATTCAATCACTCTATTAATGAAAATTAATCATTTTTGTTGGATTTTCAGGAACAGTTTCTAAAACAAAACTCGGTGTCTCGAGTTAATTTTGTCCTTGGTTTTTCAGTTAAATTTTGAAAACAATAAAAATAGCAATAAAAGTAAACATTCAAGTTATCCCATGAAGATATTTAGGAAAAAGTGACAACAAATCTTGGAATAATGAAAATAATACATTTTTTAGAAAAATATTGCATCTTGACACAATTTCCACAAAATTAAAAAGTTAAACTCTATTTTATATTTACATTATTACGGTTTCAGTATTTAAAGTTATATTTTGGGTTAACAGAATTTAATATTCATTGTATGTGTTATCTGAATCTGTACTATAAATTTGTATGAAAATATAAATCAGACATCTACATCTTAGTCTTTGATCCTCCTGTGCTGAGTGTCATACTGGGCAACCGTCTCCAGTGAATGCTGTCAGCTGCAATGATTTTAGCATCATTGGAATCTTAATCTTCTTTAGATCTTTATAAGTAGATCATTCAGTTGTTCTTGGTCTATCTTTTGCTACTAAGTGTTTAATTTGCAAGGTTACTTTTGGTAAGCGTTCCTCCAGCAGATGAAGTATATGCCTTGCATAACACATTCTATGCTCTGTAATAATGTCCTGTAGTTCATGTAGGCCACTTCTGAGGACTTCCTCAATTGTGTTAGTCATGATATGTAATTCTAAGTATCCTTCAAAGACAATGCTGATGGAATACTCTACATCAAGTATACATAATTTCAATGATGTTCTTATAACTCAATAACTTTTGTTTTAGTACAGTGTCACTTTTTTAGAGTGTTTTAATAAAATTTTATTCTTAAAGTTGTTTTGACAAGATTTCATCTCTGCCAGACATCATTGGAACTTTGCTAGGATTGTACACTATATATGAACAACACTCAAAAGGTCCAATGATCTAGGTCGAGGCTGTCCCAACTGGCAGCCTGCTAAAAAATTTTTGTGGCCCATTGACATCTTTAAAGAATTATTCAAAATATTTCATATTTACTAATGGACGTAGAACTTGTGGCTTAACAAATTCAGCCACAAACATCCCATTTACCATTTATTAGGAAATTAAAAAGTGTGAATTGTATCATTAACACGGGATTATTTGCTGACATACATTTATTAAAGTCAGCAAATAATAATTGATGCTTCATGTTACAGCATGATAAAATTATACTGTTTATAAACTGAATTTTATGTGTATTTTATAAAGTTCCTCATTATAGGGTTTCTAAGAAACATCTCAGAGGAATTTTTAAAAAATAGGATCAATTTTTTAATATATCTTGGTAAAATAAAAAGTACTTAAGGAAATACTTGAACAGAATATATCATAAAAAAAATTATACTTTGATCATTGGTTCCTTTAGTTTCTGCTAAAGTAATAGGGTGTACAATGTTAGTGAAGTTCCAATGGTGCCGATTATAGATAAAAATCTTATTTATTTCCATATATTTAACTCATGAATAATGAATATGAAGGTTTTGTTGCAAAATTTAACAAGCTTTTTTTCAAACTAATTTTGAACTATAAAAAAATTTTCCTAAGTATAAAATTATTCCTAAAGTTTTGTTTTCTTCTTTTTTAATCATATTTTGTAGCTAGAGATTTAGAATATAACAAAAATAAGTAAATATAATAGTTCATTTTTTCCAATTAAAAAAGTATTCCTCCTCATCCAATTAAAAAAGTATTCATCCTACATTACAAAAACAAAAACACTAAAAATATCATCACAACAAAAATATATTTGATATTTACAGATTATTTACTATTTGCTAGTAAAGTTAGCTCACAGGCTAATAATGCTTTCTTTTTGCATTTATTTACTGTTTTGTTTGTATTAAGAACAGTGACATAGTTATATATTTTAACACTATCATACATTTCGTTTATTGTTGATATAAGATTCTTTGGAAGTCAGCGGAAATAAATCATCAACTAACTGCAAACTGAAAGTGCTTATTAATCTATAAAACAACTTACCAAGCAACTAGTTGAATGATATGCAAATGGTAATTAAGTAAATATTTTCAAAATGACAAGACAACTTCTTTGCATATTTGATTATAAATTAGCATAATTAATCAATAAACACCTCAACTCAAGCATCTATCATTCACTGAATTGTGTTTTCAGTATTTTATTCTGTCACTTACGTTAATCACTCCAGCTATTTGCATTTTCTCAAAAGCTATCTTTTGTATGTTTTAGATATGATACTGCTCTAGCACAACAATTTGATCTGTTATAGAGGTACTCTCATTAAAAAGAAGACTGACTAAAAGTTTTTCTGTATAGTATTTATTAAAAATTGATAATGCAGTTATTTTTATAGTATTAATATTTAGCTATTTTTGAAATTGTTTGGTAAATATAAATTATCTAAATATTAAATAAAATGACAAGTTAAAAACAAAAGTAATGAAACAATTTTAAATTTATTGATTTAAAATTATATCTAAATTATTTTTTTTACAGGTAATGCCATTAAATGTTGGGTATGCCGTTCAGATACAGATCCACGCTGTGCAGATCCATTTGACAATACTTCTGTTCCCATTAATGACTGTGATATTGCCACTTTAGATCATTTGCCAGGACTCAAAGCTACAATGTGTCGAAAAATGAGGCAAAAAGGTACGAATTGCCAAAACTATTGAGTGGACTTACGTTACAGGAAATTATATTTAATTTCATCTAATGTAATTCTACTAAATTTTATTTTCGAAAAATTTAGTTTTCCTTAGATCAGCAGTTCTCAAAATATGGTCTGTGGACCACTGATGGTTTGCTAACATGCCTCTGGATGACCAAGCAGTTAGGTGGCAGCCTACCACTTGGGAGGAGCCAGGATTAAATTCAGAAAAACTTTTTGGGAAGTGGTCCATCTGGATTAGTCAGATCCTGTCTCTCACCACCCACCCACCCCATTGTGGACCTGACTGAACTCATAATGGGCTTGCTAAAAAAGATCTCTTAGTGTCCACAGGCAGAAAGAAAAAGTTAAGGGAAAAAAAAAGGCATGCACCAGGTGGTCTACAGATTGACTTGGGCACTTTTTCAAGCTGCAATGCTATGCTGTTTAATCAGAGAAAAAACATTTTCACACATGGTACATATCTGTTATGCAGAATACCAGACCCAACAATGAGAATGTCATCGACATATTCCACATTCTCCACTGTTCAAATATCTCTCTCTCAGAGGATCATATCTACCTTTACTCCAGATACATTGACGACATTCTTATTGTCGGGTCTGATGTTCTACCTGTTTAAATCTTCCTTGATATCTGTTAAGTTACTGGATAAACAAAATATTTTGGTACACAATCTATCATCTATCTAGAGTGATATTTACAGGGTGGTGGACAGGGCATAGATAGTCTGCAGTTCATCTATGACTTGGCTTTATGATCTACAAATCAATAACTTTGAAAACTGCTGCCTTACATCATATTTTTTAACATATAATTCTATAATCATATTGATATGATTTATATATTTTTAATATTCTTTTGTTTTACATTATATAAATAAATGTGAAAATGCATTTATTTTGCAATATTAATAATTAGTTTTGAATATTTTTATCTCAAATCTTATAACATTTGATCAGAATATTGTAAATATAATTTATTTTCAGCAATTCATATTTTTGTCCGATTTGGAGTTTAATATTCTAATTTAGAAAGGTTTTATATTCTCAAAAGATATTACTTAACTTCACACATAATCTTCTAATCTAACAGAATTATTTTAATATTCTTAATTTACTTTTATAACCACTTAAAGGGGGTTTCTTCAGACAAATAAACCGAAATGTTATGTCATTCAAATGCAACATTCATTCGAGTTCAAGAATTACTCAGCAGACAATTTAATTCGCAGATATTTTATTTAAATGCATTTCAGATCAGGTAAAATATCAGAATTAAATCATCATCTGAGTAATTCTTGAACTCTGGTGAACGTTGGATTCAAAGAACATAACATTTTGGTTTATTCATCCGAGAAACCCCTTTTAAGTGGTTATAAAAGTGACTGATTATATTTGGCAAATATTGCTAATTTAAACTTCATATTACACCTTCTTAATTTCATTTCCTTAAATTCTATTTAAGGATCAAGATAATAAAGTCTTACTATAAATTATACACTTCAAAATTAGATAATTTCAAAGGCCATCAAAAACTTTGAGGACTTATATGGGGCCCAGGAATAGAAAAGGTCTCTTTAGCTTTTCATTTTTTGAACAAATGAAATAAATACAACCAACTTGATAATTCTTTTAAATGCATAGAATAAAATGTAGAATGGAATAAAGAAACAAGCAATTATTTATTGTGACATCATGATAATGGCTGGCTGCAATTTTTAATTTATTTGATTTAAAATATACGTTCTCCACCTGAAATTACTGCTGTAGTATCTTGCCCTGCACATCATACTTTCCATTAGCAATGGAGCCATGCCAGTCATCTATCCAATTCCTTTTAGAGAAAATATTTTAATTGAAATAACGAGACTTCAGGTTTGCATCAGAAGTTCGTATATAGTTAATCGGGCTTCCTGCCCCTAAGCTTTCCATATCTGGTCTTGAATTTCATATATCTAACACCATTCTTGATATCAAGGAAAGACAGACAGATGGATGACAGTGGGAATTTATAGATCTAAAATTTGTTCAAATTGCAGCCCAACAAATGAAATTTGTAGAATGTTTCTTTATTAATAAAAAAGTTTTAGAAATTGTTTTTTTTTCCAGTGAACAAATTATTAATTTATAGGAATAGGAACCAATCTAGGCCCTAAAAAACCCACACCCACGATTTTCACTTCCTGGACACTTTGTGATTAAACGAAATGGTTGGCCAAAATATCAAACTTAAAATAGCTTTCATTGTAATGTTTGCCCTCGTCCGAAGTTTTAACACAATACTGTATAAGTGAAAATGTGATCATCTACAACTTAGAAACAAATTTAAATTGTAATGCATTTTACACGACATTATTAATGAGAGGTTAAGCACGTGATAATGAAGTTGCTATAGTAACTGACACTTTTTTACCGTTACCATAGCAATATCAATCGATTATATAGTACACAACGGGCGCGTCACCCCGTAATGGGGATTTAACACAACTAGTTAAGTGAACCAATGACATCGGCTGGCTTATCTGCGCGAAAGCAACTTTACAGGCAACGATCGTATTTGATCTACGATTTTAACGACGAATCAAATTTTCGTTTTTNCGACATGCTCAGTAGTCCGACGCACCTCCCGTCATGGTACCCGTCCCCGTTACGTGTCTGCTTGCACAGAAGCATGTCGCGATGTGAATCTCCCCATCCAATTTTTACACGATGACACACATTTCGTGTGTTTTATGTGAGCAGTTCTGTTCGAACAGTTGGAGTAGAGAATATTGTAAGTTACTGCTAGCAAAACAATGCAAAATATGTAATTATTTTTGGTAATTCGGACACTTTTGGTAATCTGACACACCTTTGGTCCCATACCTGTCGGATTATCAAGGGACAACTGTACTGTATATAACTTTTCTCGTTATAAACATAGATATGTAAGAATCTTTTATACTATGATCTTGGAATAAATTTTATAAGATACATTCAGACATTTCTATAGAAATTCAGTTTGTAAACAATGTATTAAAATCATGTAAACCATATTCAAATCAATAATTTATTTGATAAGTAAACAGAACTGAAATCTTGATCACAAATTTACTATTTATTCAGTATAACTATATAAAATATCGAGATTAAATATACTAATGTAACATGTATTCCTTATTTTTAAGACATTTTTTGTCTTAAGTGTGTATATCTACATATTACCTGTTGGTACTTACACTTGCATAAAATTATTTTCTTTTTCATGGATCTATAGTAAGAAATTCTGTATATATAATCAATACATATAGTGCATTCAGGAACTCTGTACACCCAATGTAAACCTTTTAACGAACTCACTGGATAAGTTGTCCAAGAGGCCCGTATGTGCTCCATCAAGTCAGAACACAAGTGTATGTATCTCCAAGTCCTTTGTAACATTTTTGTAAGTACATTAGTGTGTCCACACACTCACGACCAACCTCTCCTCAACAAAAAAAAGAACTTGCGCATGCCATTTCAACTCTAACATTGAAGTGAAGGATCCACACACACGCAAGCAAGGTCATGTGCTTGAGATGCTCCCCTCAAAATATAAAGGTTTACAATAAAGGTATACAGACTTCCTGAAATATGGTATGATAAAATCATTTTTGTGCTAACTTTAAAATATGTTAACATACAAACCTTTGAATATTCTAATATATTCAAATGTAAATAAATGCTTATTTCTTCATTCAGATTATTTTTATCAGTATTAAATTGATTAGGAAAGTTTTTACCATACTTTTATATAGTTTATAATGAAATATAAGCTTTTAGATAACTGTACCTAATTAAGTTTTCTTTAATTTCAGTGAATGGTCATTGGAGGTTTTATAGATCTTGTGCCTTTTTGGGAACACCCGGAGAAGGGACGGGAGACGAAAATTATTGTCTTATGCGAACTGGTACATATAATATATTTGTAGAGTATTGCACATGTAACAGTAAAAATGGTTGTAACACTTCACCTAAATCTGTATCCATATCAATTGGAATGATTATTTCATCATTAATTTTAGTCATGTTTATTTCTAACATATTAAAATGATGTATTTAGCAATTAACTACATTGCCATCATCAGATTGGAAATACATGTTATCACATTATCCATTATCTCATTGTCAGTCAAACCATACTTGCATTTAAATGAGTTGCCGAAGCATTCCAGTAACACCATACAAAACTAACTTTATTATCATTATTTAATAATAATAATAATAATAATTTCATTTATATTTGGAAATAAAACTTAATTAATTAAGTTATTCTAATTAAATTTTTAACATACTTTGTATTTTTATACTTTGAAATAACTTTTTATTTTCATGAATACCTCATAAAAAGATTTATTCAGATGCTGTAATTATAGTTTAAATGTGTAGATAGAACAATATTTTAAATTTTTTACTAGTTTTTATATAGATTTATAGCACGAATGATTGAGTAAAAATATCAAAGATGCATTTATGGAAAAAAAAATCATGTATTTGAATCTCAGCAAAAGAAAAATGAAAATAGAAACTGTTTATTTTATCCAGAAACCAACAAGATTTTATGAAAAGTATTTTTTATGTATTGTTATTAATGAAATATAGATCTGATATTAAATGTTGAAAATGTTATTAAAGATTGCTTGGTGCACTAAAATATTAGAATGTGTTTTTTATAAAGTAAATAAAGTATATAAAGTTTTTATGTGCTTTATTGATTAAAAAGGAGTGAATTACGAATATAAATCATGTAGAAGATTCGTGGTTAGGGAAAAAAAAAGATTGTTTTATTATAAAATATATATGTATACATAATTATATTATTTGTACATTTTTATAGAGATCTTATGATGATTTTTATTACAATAAATGATTTATATAAAATATTTTTTGTCTTATTTAAATATAGATTTGGTACATTTGCATTTGTGTATTTCATACGTTTAAATATTCCATAAAAGTTTAAAAAGTTTTAAGTTAAAAGTAGCGCAGTTTACAAACAAATTTTTATAATCATAGAGTGGCGAAGCTAAATGATCTAAGCATCAAAATATACAAATAGATGTGGTAATGTGGCATTTAATCTTAATAATAGAGAGGTTGAGGCGCACGTATTTAGCCCAAAACGTGTACGGGTAACGGGTGAGCGCCGCCATCTGGCAGTTCTGGACCGTCGATAATGGCGTTTGCTACGTGTAGCTTGGTGAGTACACGATCGGCTTAAACGTCTTCATTGTTTTGTGTTTGGGGTTAAAATTATGATTTATTTTGCTTCCGCCATTTTTTTCAACTTATTTCCCGTGAGTCAATGCGCGATGTTCACTGAGTCACGTGATGTTATGAACGTGTGCCTCAACGATTTTTACTTGGACTTGAAATGTGTAACGTGTACTTCTGCTACCCGTACACATTTAACATTTGAACTTGTGCCTCAACCTCTCTAATAATCAACAGATGAGGCTCTATGTTTAGAGACTCTCCGTACACTGGTTGATCCATGTGCATGTCCAACCAGAATTTGTACCTGTAAGATTTTTAAAGGTTTTATATTATAAGTGATTTTTAAATAAAAAGCTGCAAGTGAACAAAGATGAGGTAATATTAAAAATTCAAATAGCTTTAAGACCATACAATCACCAATAAAAATATATTAAATTAGAACATTCAAAATGTTTTTATTATTATTTTAGATATAAAAAACATAGAAATTTTGTTAACATTAACACTAATTTTAGAAAATTGTTATAATTTTGTGACCTTTAGCATTAGCATTCAAGACCTGTTTGACTATTCTCAATTTTACTTATTATGATGGACTATACCCTCAACAAAATCAACTGTATGAATGAGGAATTGAGACATATCGTACCACAGTCCATAAAACCTTCAAAAAAAATTATAACAATCCAGATTATATTTTAATCTGACTTCTAGGCAGTACAACACCATAGCTGTGTTTTTCAACCATTTTCTACCACCAACTTTATAATTTTTTCTTGTGGCTCCTACTTCTTTATTACTTATTTGTGCCTTTCGTACTTTAAGTAATACCTGTAAAAAGTGTTATGGCACTGCTCAATACTATATTTTGTGGCAATGCTGAAGTGTCATTGAAGCACCCATGCTATTTTTAGCCGAATGACTATGCGTTGAGGGAATCTTCCGTAAAATCTTGATTTTTCACACGTAAGTTATATTATGTCAATCTTATTTAACAATGTTAGCTAATTTGCTAAAAGTTAGATAATAAGCAAACTAAGGCAAGTTACATTGCCCATTGTGAACATATGTTATATTTAATTCAGTTGAGAGTTCAGGAATTGGTTAACCCCATAGTGTTTGACTTTGCATGGCTAACTAATTTCTGGCCAACACACAATGAGATCAGAGAATTGGTGAACATCAACTTCATAATATATCAAAATCAATATTCTGATTGCTTCTAACTCAGATCCTCATGTATCGGTACATAGTCTAATACTTCATTAAATACCCAACTGATGAACAATTATATTAGATTTTGTTTTTTCATCTCCATATTTGACTACCATCCAAGAACAGGCAAAGCCTTTATTAAATAAATCTGATTAAGTTACAATATTACTAAAAAATTATTTCCAAATAAGAAAATTTTGCTACCATAAATATAATGAGCTTTTAATTTTTTTACAATTTTTATAAATTATTCAATGCTACTTAACACAAAACCATAAGTAAAAAATAGAATTCTAACATAGAAACATATATTGTTAAAATAAGAAACTTGTCTTCTTATCTTAACCAATTTTGAACCAAGTTTGCTGAATTACTACAGAATAAACAACAGATTCTATAACTATGTGACGAATCTTCCTTCAAATTTGAACTGAATAATTCGTGTTCAAACAAAAACTTCATTTCCCATTTCTAAATTATGCTGATCTGATTCTCATTGTAGTCAGGCTTACTCTTAATAATACAATTGAAACGAGTGGCCAAACTTTGTCATGATAGGAGCCATATTCCTCTATTGAACAAAACTTTATATATACAAATATAAACAAATTCAATAGTTATATATTAAAGCCATATGATTGGTGCTTAATGCCTGCCTCTAGTCCCAAATTACTTAGCTTTTGATTAATAATAATAGTAGTAATATAGCCCGATATAATTTAGCAATTGTCTGGCTTCAATTTTATATACACTAAGTGGCCAAAAAATTAGACACACACTCTAATAACGAGTTGGTCCACCTTTATCTCTGATCATAGCTGATATTCTTGGTATGGACTCAACAAGTTGCTGAGGAATGTTGGTCCATGCTAACATAATGGCAATTCTACATTGGGTCAAATTGGTTGGTAGCGTTTCCAAGCTTTGAAGTGATCTTTTGACTTTATCCCACAAATCTCCATAAGATTGAGGTCAGGGGACTGAGCTGCCCATGGAAGCAGGTTAAACTATGATTGGTTTGAGTAACATCAATCAAGCACGGTGACAAGGTGCATTGTTCTGTTGAAAGTGACCATCTCCGTCAGGGAACATTACAATCATAAACGAGTGTACATGATCGGTAATGATGTGTTGAGGTAAGCTGTTCTATTCAGAGATGTGTCCACAAATATCAAGTGACCCAGTGTACTCCAGAAAAGCATTCCCCATACCATAATTCCACTGCCTTATTTGTGTCTTTCGTGCTTTTAGTAATACCTGTAAAAAGTGTTATGGCACTGCTCAATACTATATTTTGTGGCAATGCTGAAGTGTCATTGAAGCACCCATGCTATTTTTAGCTGAATGACTATGTGTGAAATGACAGCCTGAAGAGTTGTCATTTGGCAGGAGAGGTCCACAAATTCGTGCTGTTTGCACCATATTCGGATCCCTCCATCTGCATGATAGAGCAGGAAACAAGATTCATCAGACCAGGCTACTTTTTTCCAGTCCTCAAGTGACTAATTTCATCGTTCCTGGGACCACAACAGGAGCCTTTTCCTATTTTTCTGTGATACCAAAGGTACTCTTGATGGTCTTCTGCTGCTAAAGCCCATCCTTTGCAAAGTGTGTTTTGTTGTGCATTGGAATGTGCTTTGTAATGCATCTGCATTGAATTCAGCTGTAATTTGTCATGTTGTAGCCCTTCTGTTGCTGCAGACTATGCATTCTAATCATCTTTCACCAGTCTTTTTTGACCAGAATTGTCCTTATCACTTGAAGTTTTTTTTCTCAACTGCCACTCTCTAAACACCCAAGATACTATTGAGCAAAAAAATCCTAAAAGAGACATCGTTTCAGAGATGCTGACACAGCTCTTCTTGCACTGACAATCATCCCTCATTAAAAGTCACTTAAATCTTTCGTCTTACCCATTTTGACATTAACTTCCATGATAACTATGTCATCCAAAGCTGAGCTTATCTTATAAAAACAACTCTGCATTGTTATGTCACTCTGCATCACTGTTGGGCTGATTTACTTTCAAATAAGAGGTGTGTCTAATTTTTTGGCCACTCAGTGTATAACCTATATACTGTATATATTGGTTTTATATATATGTGTGTGTGTGTGTGTGTGTGTAGAGAGAGAGAGGAATAGCACAAAAGTCAAATCTCTACTCTTAAGTAAGACACCTGGCTTTTTTACACAAGTGTTACATAAGTATAAGTAGCATATCTCAAGTTCATAAAAGAAATTTTATAACCAAACAGGAGTTGCAATAAGGATCTAGAAGAGCTGCATAAGGCTTGTGAGCCACAGTTTGGCTGCCTTTGCTACCTACGGAATGGTTGAGCATTATCTGTGATGGCTATTTCACTGCACATTTATGTTTTTTTTTTTTTTTTAAACTGGAAAATTCATGGTCAGTCAATGTTGGGGGCAGTGCCGGCCCGAGGCAAGTTTTAGGATGGAGCGAGATCCTATTATGGAGCCCCCTTGGTCAGTAGCGTAGCGAACATAACTGGCGCTCGGGGCACGACACTTTATTGGCGCCCCCTCCAGAAACACATATAGTTTGTCTTGGAGACCATTTGGGCACCCCTCTGCAAGTGGCGCCCGGTGCTTGATGCACCCCCTCGCTACGCCACTGCCCTTGGTTGCCCCAAATTTATACCCTTTAATTTTCTTTACCACTGAGGCGCCCTCTAGAACTTAGCACCTGGAGCGGCTGCTCCTTTCGCCCTATGGTAGGGCCGGCTCTGGTTGGTGGTATGTCTGTTACGGGACTATGTTTCCCCCGGGGAAGATCAGTTGGGAGTGTGGGTAGCTAACATGGGCACTTAGAAGGTATAAACATGGAAGAAATCTGTTAGGATACGGATATGACACGAGCGGGCACTCACTAACGGTTTTAATGTGATGATCGGTAGAGGCCGAAGTCCGTACGATGGAGGTATGAGCAGTATCAAAAATGTATCGGGCATCCAAGTGACATTCGACATCATCTTTCTCGGTCGGACAGTAATTGCAACGATTAGTGGCAATGAAGTTTCCAGTATTCAGAAAGGTATTAGCAAGGAAGGAGTTAGTGCACTCTGTTGATTAGAGTGGCCATTACCAATCACTACTAGATAGTCTTTAGGGCCATTACCGTGCCCAACCAGGGGCACTTTTTGTCGTGTGTATAGAGGTCCCAATCAGCGCGCAACTGGATTTGGCGGTCACGCTTGCTTAGTATTCTGAGATAATGTGTGTCGCATGCTCTGATGTTTTCATTGCAGGCAAGGGAGTCCACTTTCTCATCTATCTCTATGCCCATGTAGGCAGGTGCCCGTAAGAGGGTGATGGATGTGTTTGGCAATGCACTAAAGAGGGAGAGCAATAGTGCAAAAAGTTTGGGAAACACTGATATATATTAAGGCCATGCCTTTGTGCAAAAAAACATTATCTTTTACGCGAATTTTTTTAAATCACGATTTTAATATTTAAGCATTATTTAAATAATTTTAATTTGAACAAGTTATTCAAAATATCATTTAAAATTTCGAATTGACACCCCCCTCGCGTAACTTGCAAACGGCTAATTAAATTACAAAAATAAATTATAAAATGTATATATAAAAATATTGTAAATAAAAATAGTAATAATAATAAATTATTTAATAATAATATATCAAAAATTAATCTTCGATAAAATTTAAGTTAATAATTTTTTTCATTTGTACACGTAGGAAGATGGTGGCGCTGATGGTGAAAGTGTAATGCCACGTTGATGCTCTGTTTGATGTGGTTTTTATATCGAGCCGGTTTGGAGAATATCGGTGAGTCGTTAGGTTAATAAACATTTAAATTGATAAACATTAAGCATATTTTACGCGCTCGACGGTTATCCATTTAAAATTTCAACTGTTTTCTTTAAAAAATATCGTTTAATCACGTGTGATCTATGACATTGATATTTGAGAGTCGAATAAAATAAAAATCCGGCTTAAAATGGTTGTAGAGCTGCTGTCATTTGGTAAAAGTGACGTGTTCTTACTTTATTTAAATAATAAAAATGTTTGTTTGACGTGAATACTCGTTACAATTACTCGAACAATCACTCTTACTGTTTTAATGTGATATAAGATATTAATTTTGCATTAAATATGTAAATTAATGTTATGTGATCTCGTGCAAGATGTAACATCAATGGAGTTATGTTATGATAGTTTGTGTGTGCGATACGCTACGGAATATGTTTAGTGTTTTTTAAATAATAATCGGAGTGCGTGTGTCCGCTGTGGCTCGTGAGCCGCACGCGGTTCTAGACTCCGATTGTGGTCCTTGTACTTGTGCGCTTTCTTTTAATAAACTTGGCACATAATGCTTACACGTATATTACATTTTGTGAGTCTTATGATTGTACACTGTGTAAGGGTAACTCTTAACTTAACCTTGAACGGGCAACCTGAAAGCTTAGAGTATGTTTGTAAAGTTGGAGGAATTAAATTTGACCACCCGTGGTGTGTGTATATATATATATGAATTTATTTATTTAACAGCCAAATGAAGATATATATCATGGGTGAATTAAGCACAAAAAAAACCAATATCCACAAGGAATTACTGCTGATTGTTGGTGTTTTTAATGCTTAATTACATGTACCCAATTTGTGTTGTTGAATATATAAAATCTATACAATCTTATATACTTGCATTTAGTATGCATAACAAATTGTTTATTAAAATGCAAGATGATTTGTAAAAAGTTTATTGACGTGATTTGATTATGTAATAAATAGTTATGGTTTTCGGTAATATAGCAAAGATATGACCAATGTGGCTGTACAAGGCATCAATATCAATAATTAATCAAATATAATGTATTAATTTTTTTTCATTAAGCTGATGATAACTACATACATTTCAAATAAAACAACTTGAGGCTTAATATATTATACTTATTTTAATAAAGTGTAGCTGCAAGATGAAAATTTATAGACAGGATAAAAATTTACAGGATGCTTCCTGTAATAGTGAGCCTGCTGTCTGTCAGAAGAAGATAAGACTTATTTAAAATTGTATTTACCATATGTTAAAATATATTTAAAATTGCTCAGTATTTACCATATGTTAAAACAAAGTGTGAGCATGTTGAATGATGAGAATGATTGTTTTGTTCAAATAATAGTGAAATGAATTGGATTAATGGATTTATTTCAGTAGTAGTTGCACCCAGTTCCTGAAAAATAGAAATACTGACAATAGTCATGCTTTAATAGTAAATACTTTCTAATAAACAGCACAGTCAGCAAACTGAAAAAAAAATAAATTATAAACAGCATTCTATGTATTAGAATGAATACGGTATATANACTATCTTGGAAAGGACAGGAAGACCCAGAGGCTGTTGCTGATGTAGAACTTCTAAGATCGCAGAAATCTTGTAAGCTTCTTTCATGTCTTTCGTGTAGTAGTTGCACCCAGTTCCTGAAAAATAGAAATACTGACAATAGACATGCTTTAATAGTAAATACTTTCTAATAAACAGCACAGTCAGCAAACTGAAAAAAAAATAAATTATAAACAGCATTCTATGTATTAGAATGAATACGGTATATATTGAGGAGTCTCTTGCTTTTTTTGCCATATAAGAACTTTTACTTTACACAGTAGGGGCCATATTTTATTGCTGTGCCACTACCAATAATCATTTATTATTCTCATTATGCTTCATAAAAATAATAATCACATTAATTTCTTTTTTATTTAAAAATGCATACTGATTTATTTTCATGTATTGTATTTTTTAATTAATTTTTTATTTGAATTTATGGCATGTAACATATGTTTATGTGAAATNCAAAAATCCTACAGGTTACTCTGAACACATCTTTTTCATCTGTATAATGCATGTCTTAAATGTTCCTATTATCTGAAATACTGGAAAATAGTAATGATTGTTCTTTTAAAGAAGCCAGGCTGTTCAAATAAATTTTATCCAATCAGTTTTCTTCCAGCCCTAGGAAAAGTTCTAGAAAAGATTTTCTTTACCAGATTGACATTTCTTAACAAAATATGGTTGTATGTATATCTACTAATCAATATGGATTTATTCAAGGAAAATCTGCAGAGGATGCCATGTGTAGGCTCACAACTTCCATTGAGATTGGGATCAGGAATTGCCTTTTTATTGCTGTTCTTTTCCTAGACATTTAAATTGTCTAGGAAAAGAACAGATTTTGATAGCATGTGGCATTTGCCATAATCAATAATCTTTTATCTGTCAACTGCTCTATATATATATATATATTATAAAATTTATTTATAATGGTCAGGTAAATATATAGGATGCACCAAATAACTTCTTATAAAAAATATTTAGTGCTGTGCTTGTGAGATATTGGCGTGGTAAAGAGACAATATATTATTCAATGAGACAAACAGTAGACCCCTAGCAGTAAAATTTGGAAAGAATTAGCATTTCTATCTTAGAAACTATGAGAGAGACAGAAAAACAGTTAAATGAGAAAGTTTCAGAGCGATTTACTGCTAATTCAATGACGCTCTGAAACTTTCTCATTTAACTGTTTCTGTAAAACGTCCAGAAATGGATGATTTAAATAGAAGATGGAAACTTTACACATGATTTTTATCATTTACATAAATCGTACCCTTTTTCTCATATTCAAAAGATGGCTGTGATGAGACACCATTCCTGTAGATAAAAACTGAGACACAGCAATGTGCAAATGGTTGTTTATCATCAGATAGTCCTTTGGAGAGTATTGTGTCAACAAAAAATTGTCATGTTACATGAACGAAGAATATTGAGATGGTACTATGTGGAGAATGTAGACAAAGTGCTAAGGAAGCTGTTCATAAGCCTCATGATTTTTTACTACCCCACATATGACTGTGTGGAACATTTGTTGAACCATTCAATACCTAAGAGAATTTGGCAGTATTGCAGCTCAATCTTGAACAGCCAACCTAATGATTTGGGCATGCACATGTAAAGTAGCCTTCTGTTTGCATCATCTGTTTTTGTGGAATGTCATTTCCTATTAATCTAATACTCTGTAATTTTCTAATTTTCTTTTTCCTCAAGTAAAAAGAAAATTGCCAAAATCAGTTTCTAGGGTAGCAAAATATCAAAAGTTATTTAATTTCTGCAATAAATATAGTGTATTTGTTATAGCATATAAATTCATCATTTATTTTATATTCATTTTAAAATAATTTGAAAATATGTTTTTTTTTTTGTTTAGAATTATTTTACAAAACCAATAGTAGCATTTTTATCTTTATTAAATGAAATGTTTGTGTAATCAAGTCAGTCTTCAAACTGCTGTAAAAACTATAAAAAATATATAAATTCATCATCTTTACTTCAAAGCCAAACAATAGCCAGATTAGATCGGGCTATATTACTGCTATCTAGCTCAATCTAATCTGACAATTGTTTGGCTTTAATTAATATAACCATCTTAAAGATGTTTATTTCTTTACTTTAAAATAATAAAATAAATGCAGTGTGTTCCAAAAGGAATTCTACCATTTTAAATTATTTTTATTGTGTTAATTATTATCTGAGAACATTGGAATGTACAGTACATTAAAACATTGGAAAACTGTTAGTTTTACATTTGCCCATTAGTTTCTCGACTTGTGTACATCACGTGCAAGGCACATATCCAACTGATACTCAAGTTCTTCCCGTGCTCTCTACGGTACATACTATGGCAGTCGCAATTCTATCGATCCTGCAGATTGTTCATGTTGCACAGTGGTGAGTGATTCTGATTTTGCAAACTGATGAATGCAAAATGCCTTGCCTTCTGTATTGTGAAGTAACCATTTTCATTTGGACAACAAGACAGTTGGGAGACAAAACGTGGACAGTTACCCTATTGGTTGATCTATTTTGCATACTTTTAGGGTAATAATTAATTTAACATAATCTCACACGTACCAATTTTTTCAATATAGATTTCATTTTCAATTATTTATTTTAGTAAAATAAAGTATTAGCCTTAGTGAAACTGAATTTTGAAAGTCTGTCAAGGTGGTCAGGAGCTTATATCCACTTCAATAGTCATTTTAAATAAACAATAGATTTACACTCTTAATTAATTTCAAATGTTTTTGGCAAGTATAAACTGCTTTCATCAGGCAACAAGAATAATGAAATATTAGAATATACATTATTTTCTTCGAACTGAATTTATCTCAATTTAATAATAATAGTCTTACAGCAGTCGACTCTGCTATAAGACTGTTCCCAAAGTGTGAAGTGGATGAAAGGATGGAGACTTTTTCTATCTTCAGTTATATTTGTGATTTTTTTTACAATCAAATTATTAAGTTATTGTGGTGCATACCAATCTGTACCACTTTTATAATCAGTTCTTAAACTTACCGTATTTCAATGCATATAACTCAATAGTTATCGGCATTTTAAAGATAATCTGGAAGGACATGCAGGTTATGTGCCAATTTTAAATTGCAATTATTGACTTGCCGCCTACAAAGCAATGGCTGCTCCTACGGGAACGGGTTATGCAAAGATTTTATTTTTGTTCTATAAATTTTCTGCAGGTTATATATGCACAAAAATATAATAATTAGAAAATCGCAAGTAACTCTTTTGATCTATTTTTAATTCTAATTCTCAAATAATGAAGAAAATAGCATTCCAACACAGTTTATGTAAATAAATTTTATCAAAGAATAATTATTTATTTGGAATTGTCAATTATTTAATAATTTTAGTCAATTAAAGACGAGACACTTCTTAAGCTTTTCAAATAATTACTAGCCCCTTAACGTGGCAATTTTAGTGTTAAATGACCCAGTTATACTTTCTCAAGCATTTGATTAAAAAATTATATTGAATAAACTACACTATGAAGATCTTGATTGATAAATATATTCATTACTTATTTTAGAGACTTCTACTTAGTTTAATCGACATTTTCGTCATATCTAAAAAATGTGTTATCAAATTATGACAGATTATCGTAACCAGATTGATAGAGCACATAGGGTGAAAATGTGAACTAATAATATATAATGAAAACTATTGATTTTTACAAAATGTTATGAGAAATGGACATTAATAATTTATTCTCTTGTCAAGGAGACTCCTAGGACATAATTCCATTTCATGCTGCTTTTCTTAGAGTAAAAAGTGCTTCAAATTTTATTTATTCTCTTGTTTTTCCTTCTCTTATACCCTTTATTTTACATACATTCAGAAATATTTTCATTGTTTAAGGTTTAAATACATTTTTATTTTGAGATAAACTATTTTAACATTTAAGTGTTGAAATAATAGATCAAATTCCTTTACGGAAGTCATGTTTTGAGTTTTCTAAACGTTTTAGTGAGTTTCTATGTAGTCCTAACAGGTTTATATCTGAAAATCAAATTGGAATGTTACAGTTTAAGCATTAAAACATGCCTTTTTTCATAATGTAATTAAATTCTTTACATGAGCTTGGATAATTTTTCTTTGCTTTGATTTTTTAATCTGTGTGATGACTGTATTCTCATGGTGATCAAACTGTGGCTCTTCTAGACCCTTAGTTGTATTGTCAAATTTGTATAATTAATAACTTTAAATGATAAAAGATCAAGAGAAGTTTGTGTTTGGATTATACAGGGTTTTCTAAAAAGAATTCTATCATTTTGAATTACTGTAATTATGTTTATTATTATTTGAGAATATTGTAATGTACATTAAAGCATTGGAAAACCACCCAAATTTTACATTTGCCATTACAATTTCTAAATGCTGTTATCACGTGGCACACATTCAACCAATACTCAAATTATTCCTATCACGTGGCATATCCATTGTTGCTCCTCCCACGGCAGTCACTGTTTTGTGGCTCCCATAGATTATTCATGTTGCACGATGAAGAATGATTCAGACTTTGCAAATTACAGTACAAAAAATGCTTTCTCCATTGCAGAGTCACTATTTTCATTTATGATTCTAGCGGTAGTAGACGACAAGATGTTTGAATTCAGATGAGAGGCGAAACTCCGACAGTTACTCTTTTGATTGATGTATAGTACATTGCATACTTCTCAGATAATTAACAGCAATAATATTATAATAATAATTATAGTAATGTATATATATATGTTATAATATATATGAATTTGGCAAGATAGGATAGAATTTTATTACATGTGTTTGACAAAAGTTGTTAAACTGTCAATCTAAAAAAAATTGTGACCCATTAATAATGTTACCATCTATATGTATTTAATTATTATATTAAATATGTTTATAAATAATTTTTTTACTAGTTAATTACACAAACTATTATTTATAGATATTATGATACATTATTATAATTTTCTGTGGATTATTATCTGCTTTAAAAAAATTTGGCTTTACAACATATTCTGTTCATAATAAAAATTATAATTTTTCATTCAAGTATTAGATTATTGAACTTGTGGCACACTTGAATAATCCATTTGAAGGTTGCAGTGCACACTAATATTAAGTATTATGGGACTGGGCTGCAGCTCAATTATAGAACTCTCCCTAATATATTTGATAGTTGGCTATTTCACATAACTAAACACCAAACGTATGCCGAAAATCTGTCGGGCTAGTTTTAAGGCTAATTATTAAATGAATTACGTAACCAATTTGGCACTAGAGGTAAGCGTTAGGCGCCATCNTCTATTAGATCTGTTGGCAATATTCTAAATTTACCATTATTAACTAACTCTGGTTTATTCAATACCCATTCCTCACTAACAAGAACAATCTGTACAAACAACATCGCTAGACTCGATACATAATATAGCTAGACACTAACCAAATGCCGAAATTCTGTCGGGTTAGTTTAAGGCTAATTACTAAATGAATTATGTAACCAATTTGGCTCTAGAGGTAAGCGTTAGGTGCCATCTCGTATTAACATTAATAATTATAAATAAATAAATTAATTTAAATAATTTAGAACCACTGGGAGAAAAAATTGGCCCAGAGCAGAACTCTAATCCACAACTCCTGCTTACTGTGCAGATGCGTTGCCAGTTACACTGTCTGGACCTCCAGTCCAATCTCCTCTTCCAGCATATATAAGATGTTATAACCATCAATGTTTTTTTTCTCCCAGCGGTTCTAAATTATTTAAATTAATTTATTTATAATTATTAATATTAATACGAGATGGCGCCTAACGCTTACCTCTAGTGCCAAATTGGTTATGTAATTCATTTAATAATTAGCCTTAAAACTAGCCCGATAGATTTTCGGCATACGTTTGGTGTTTAGTTATGTTATATATCGGGTTTAGCAATGTTTGGCTATTTCACACTTCTGAAATACAGTTGATAATAGAAGTACATTTTATTTTTTTATGAATTTTAAAATTTGTTATTTTAATTTTAATTTCTCTGGTAGTATAGAGATAATCTTCACATTGTAGTTTTAAAATTTGTAATGTGTTATTAGTACATACAATAATTACATGATATGTAGAACTGTGCAGAACAAACAATGCAAATAGCATAGATTGGAACTAATATGCCTCCACTATCCTGTTGACAAGGACTAGGTTAGATGATGATTGTTTAAAATAGTCTGATATTAGTTTGTCAAAGGCGACATGAGTGGATTTGTTTGCTATGAGCTTGTCCAAACTGCAAGACACAATGTTTCTTATCCTCCAGCATCGGACAGCTAAAAAGATAATGTTTCACTTCATTCGACACCTTACAGATATGAAAATTCTGTTGGATGGAGGTAGGAATAAAACCTACTAGTTAGGAATTCAGTAGTGTTTTAATCAATGGTAGGACTTATATTTGTAGAGATAATGGGGAAGAATTCCTTAATCCTACCGCTTTCTTCTGCCTCCACCAATCAAGTCAGAAACAAGCAATATCTTAGACACATTGAAACCCTTGAAATCCATAAATCTAAAAGTAAGGAGAACACTGTTAATTATAATGACAACCACACATTTAATACTTGGAAATAATGTTTTGAGGTTGGCACAACTAAATCCGACAGACTTTTTTGCCTCAGTTTTTTTGTTTTTAGTGTCCTTGTCATTGGAGTGTAACCAATTTTAAGATGTTTTTTTTTATTTTAAACCATGTTTGAAATTCTAATGTTTTTTATTTTCTGTCAACTGTTCTAAAGTGTTTGCGTTTTGAATAGTAAAGGTCATTAAACATGACTAAAAATGTTTGTTTAATGTTTAATCATGATTTTTGCTGCTGTATGTCATTGTGTGTAGTCAATTCAGGAAAAGGATTATAGGTAAACACATTTTAAAAATATTTTTACTCTATTTGATAAGTATTTTTTCTTAAAATGTGTGGTAAATGTTGATTTTTTACAATTTTTTTTGTATTTTTAAAACATATATTGCAATTTTCTTTGTTTTTGACTAGAATATTTAGAGAGAAAGTGAAAACAAATGTTTTTGTTGTTAATTTTATTACACAGAACTATTTAAAATTGTATGTAAATTATAATTTTCATTTTATTTTATATATATAAAAAATGATATCATAACTTTATTAAAGTATTAATATTTTATAAATCTCTAACAAATACTTTTTTTAAAGATAGTAATTCAAGATGAAGGTAAAAGAAATTGATCGTACTGCTAATATAGCATGGTCTCCCGCAAATCATCACCCAATCTACCTTGTTGCCGGTACGGCAGCGCAACAACTCGATGCAACATTCAGGTATTCGTTTCGTTTATAAATTTTGTTTTTCTTGTGAATCAGAGTAACTAGAACAATACACTTGCTCGCTTGTCTGTATTAAAGTTACCACTGATCACAACAGGTGGGTGGTGGTTGTTATACAAACTATGTTAACGGATCTTGAATTGCCACTGTTTTTACTTTCTCCATTGTCTTCCGTGGCTAATTTACACCCTGATTTCTATTGAATCGGGATGTAAATTATTGAAAAAGTTTTCATTTTAAATTTTTAAAAATTACATAAATGCAGAAACAATAAAATTGAAAATAAATAATTATAATATATTAATTTTTTAGTACAACTGCTGCCTTAGAAATATATGATTTAAATCTGACTGAACCAGATTTAGATATGGAACTAAAAGGAAGCATTGTATCAGAATATAGGTAAGTACATTTCCTTGAAACTGGTAAAAACATAAGATATTTTTAAGTTAAATCTGAAATTTACACTTGTTAATAATACAAACTTTGCCTTTATATCATTTTCTGATTTATTTGAATCCAATAGTAACTTTTTCTACTATTTCACCATTTCTTGATTACGTTTAATATGAAAATTTATTTAGTTTATTCTTGTACTTTCATCGTTAAACAATTAAAATCTCAAAGTTGAAAAATAATTATATTACAGGTTTCATAAAGTAGTTTGGGGGTGTCATGGTGTAAACAATGATGAATATACAAGCGGAATTATTGTCGGAGGAGCAGACGGTGGTAATTTGTTGTTGTATGATCCTGTAAAATTACTTCAGAATGAATCGGCGGTAGTTTGCCATAAAAATATGCATACCGGTGCAGTTCGTTCACTAGATTTTAATATATTTCAGGTAACATCCGTATGTAATTATTTTTTGCAATTAGATTCAAATTAGTTAACGATTTTCCTTTCCTTTAGCCAAATCTCTTAGCTTCAGGTGCTTCTGAATCAGAAATTTTTGTATGGGATTTAAATAATCCAACTAAGCCAATGGTACCAGGCAAATCTCAGGTGAGATACGTAGTTCAAAAAGTATTTGAATTAAATCTTTTTAAATTGTAATATTATTAAAGTGTAGATAATTTTAATTATATGCATATTAAGTATAATTTGTGTATTCTAAAACAGCCTTTAGAAGATGTAACGTGTGTAGCCTGGAATCGTCAAGTTCAACATATTTTAGCATCGGCATTTCCTGCTCGTTGCATAGTTTGGGATCTTCGAAAAACGGAACCTATTATTAAAGTTTCCGATACTACTTCAAGAGTAAGGAAATTTATATATAATAGATGATTAGTATGCAAAAATGTACATAAAAACTATTTTCAGATACGATGTAAGGTAGTTGCATGGCATCCTGAAGTAGCTACACAATTGTGTTTGGCTTCAGAAGATGACAATCATCCAGTTATACAACTATGGGATCTTAGATTTGCTACTGTACCTCTTAAGACACTTGAGCATCATCAAAGGTGATAATCCTGAAATATTTTTATTACAAATAAACAGTTTATACAAGTAGATGTAGCTCAAACAAATATACTAATACCAAAAATCCAGCAATGAAAAACACTTTAAAGACAAATGAGTTTGACCATCTTAAACAATCGTCAGTCAGGTTTTAACTTAGTAAATTTACTAAGTTTGCCTATTAAAGTATTTATTATTACTGAATTTTTGGTGTTAGTGTGAATATTTTTAGTATTTTGTAATTTAAATTTATTATTGTTAATAATAATAAAGTTTTAAATATTCTTTTTCACATGCACTCATAGCAGTAACTAATTTAAACAATATAAGTTGTGCATTTAGTGAATATTATATTACATTTTGACATATATACATATAATATAGTTTTCATCTGGTCTATTCCAGATTGTTCTTGTTGTTATTCTAGAACATTATACTAAGATGTAGATAGGAATGTAATCAGACATATGCTAGTCAGCCCAATAGCCAAAATAAAAAAGCCTTTATCCAGGATAAAAAATAATAATAATAATTTTTAGTTAAAGTTTGGTGATTGCTTCACATAAAGTTGGATTTAACATGTATAAAACATAGTTAACAAATTATTGAGAATGCCCAAAAGAATGGTTTCATATATTTTATCTCATTGTGAGGCTTTGGACAGGTCCAAACCTCACTGAAATTTGCATTAAAATCATTTATTTTTAAGGACAAAATTATCTTTTTTGAAGAAAAAATAGAAGTTAGAAATAGTTTTTCTTAATGAAAACAACACGAACTTTTAAATAATAGAACAATGGAAAAACGAAGATTGACTATCTCCGGATGGGAATCGAATTAAACTTCAATTTTGATCTCTCCTGCACCCCTGAAAGGTTTCAAATTGTCACCAGGTGACGAGGAGAGACCAATCGGAAAGTGGAATCAGAGGAAAACGAATAAAACCTGAGAAATCAAGGATGCAACGGTTTCTCCCAAAAGTTCCAAGTGGCAGATCTATTGTGTGTGTGTCTCGTGCCCATCTTCATTTCCCTCTTCATCTCCCAACCTCAGATCAACATCTGTCCATCAATGGAAGTCAACCGCATCGTCCCGGAGACATCAATGGAATTGGTCATTTGCGAACCAGGGACATTCCTTCAAAACAGGACTATCTTGGAAAGGACAGGAAGACCCAGAGGCTGTTGCTGATGTAGAACTTCTAAGATCGCAGAAATCTTGTAAGCTTCTTTCATGTCTTTCGTTCTTCTAAATATACAGTTTCTTGTAACCATAGAGTCTGTCTCAGGGCCAATTGCCAACATATGACTCTTTGCAACTGCTCAACCCTCTTGACGTTTTTGCACTCTGTCGGCAACCTCACACAAGACTCACAATAGCATTAAAAATGTGAGCTTTCTAGGAAGATGAAAATACAGAAAATCATTCTTTTGGATATTCTTTATAATTTGTTAGCTAAAACAGTTCATCATCCATTTAGAAGAATATGTAAAACATATATGCATATAATGAAATATTTTATTAAACTTTAATTTAGCATAAAATCCTTTTTTCAGGGGAGTTTTATCAATAGCATGGTGTCCCCGAGATCCAGATTTATTGTTATCGTGTGGTAAAGATAATATGATACTTTGCTGGAATCCCAATTCAAACATTCAAGGAGATGAGGTAAGAGAAATATTTATATTTCAATGTGTTTGTCTCTTGTGCAGTTTGTAAATGAATTAGCACTTTGCTTCTATATACAGTATGTTAGCATTGTTTATACGTTGCTATTATTTTTAGTAAAAAAAAAAATTTTAAAGAGTCAAGTGATAACATGATGAAATTAACAGACCTTACATAATCTATTAATTGTTTCATAATTATGTCAATGGAATTGTTGATAATGCTAAAAATATCTTTCTGTATGGTAAAAACAGTATATTTTTGAATCAAGGTTGCTTGTTGTTCTCCATTATATGTGTTTGGTTAGCACAATGTTGCTGTTGAGTANAGGAAGACCCAGAGGCTGTTGCTGATGTAGAACTTCTAAGATCGCAGAAATCTTGTAAGCTTCTTTCATGTCTTTCGTTCTTCTAAATATACAGTTTCTTGTAACCATAGAGTCTGTCTCAGGGCCAATTGCCAACATATGACTCTTTGCAACTGCTCAACCCTCTTGACGTTTTTGCACTCTGTCGGCAACCTCACACAAGACTCACAATAGCATTAAAAATGTGAGCTTTCTAGGAAGATGAAAATACAGAAAATCATTCTTTTGGATATTCTTTATAATTTGTTAGCTAAAACAGTTCATCATCCATTTAGAAGAATATGTAAAACATATATGCATATAATGAAATATTTTATTAAACTTTAATTTAGCATAAAATCCTTTTTTCAGGGGAGTTTTATCAATAGCATGGTGTCCCCGAGATCCAGATTTATTGTTATCGTGTGGTAAAGATAATATGATACTTTGCTGGAATCCCAATTCAAACATTCAAGGAGATGAGGTAAGAGAAATATTTATATTTCAATGTGTTTGTCTCTTGTGCAGTTTGTAAATGAATTAGCACTTTGCTTCTATATACAGTATGTTAGCATTGTTTATACGTTGCTATTATTTTTAGTAAAAAAAAAAATTTTAAAGAGTCAAGTGATAACATGATGAAATTAACAGACCTTACATAATCTATTAATTGTTTCATAATTATGTCAATGGAATTGTTGATAATGCTAAAAATATCTTTCTGTATGGTAAAAACAGTATATTTTCTTTACATTTTGAAGAATTTCTTAAAACAGGTTTTTCAGTAAAGAAACAAAAAGTCTTCGGATAGTTTAATGTCATAAAATATTATCAGGAAAATTTTATAAAGCCTTCATTCCAAAAGGGATTTAGATGTATTAAATACTCGGTTCAGATGTCACGCCAACAGTTAACTTAATCAAAAACTTCATTAAGAAACTTTAGACTATGAGGCGTTAAATAAAATTAGATTAAAATATTTCTTCTAATTTTATTTAACGCCTCATAGTCTGAAGTTTCTTAATGAAGTTTTTGATTAAGGGATTTAGATTTATTCAAACACTTTTATTCTTTTAATACAAATTTCTTACAAGCAGTAATCAGTGATAATGTTATATTACAAAAACTTCATTATTCTGATTTTGATTCAAGATATCATACTGTTTATCTCATGTTCAATCTCAAGATCTCATGTGAGCCTCACTAATATAGTGAGTTAGGTTCCAGACCATTGCCTTAAAGTGAATATCACCTCAAGGAAAGGCACTAAGCCTTAAACAATATGAGAGTAAAAATAATAAACAAACCTCCTTTGAAAACACCCTTAAGAACACATGCCAAAAATAATAAACATGAGTATAATATTAGCAAAATACACTTGTATCAACATTTTTGTTAGAATATTATCATAATAGTTATATTTTCTTACATTGATTATATAAAAGAATTTGCAACTATTATTGATTATGAAGAGATATAAAAGCATTGTCTTTGCCAATGAATGATAATTTGAATCATGAATCATCTTTATATACTGTTCTCTTACCATATTTAACAAAATATGGTGTTTTGTTTCAATAGAATTATGTTAAATAAGATCAGAAAATATTCAAAATTATTGAATTTGATTTCTATAGCATTCATATTAAAGATGAAATAAAATAAAATATTTTAATATCTTTAAAGGGAATAAAGAACATGCCTGCACAGTTTTGTAACATTGGACTTGAATATTCGGTATTATTCAGTACTTGGGTATAATCAGCCACACTAGTAAATATTCTGTGATTGGCTGAATGCTAAATGCTTGTATTCAACTCAAATTTGGACTGACTGAATATTTCATCAAAGGCAACTATTTAGCCAAATAATTAATCTTATTTTAGTTGAGAGAGAGAAGGAAGCAGGAAAGTTAAAACACAAAATACAATGAAAAGAACATTTAAAAACCCAGATATTTAAAAATATTGTTATTTATTCCTTTCCAAAACAGATATAACTTTAATAATTTGTCGTAAATAATTCTATCTTCACTGAACATACTGTATTTTCACTAAATACTTGCTGAAGAGGCTGCCAAAATAGCAATGAAACTCAATGATAAGATTTTAATCATTCACATTTCATCACATAATAATTTTTTTAAATGAAATGCTCAAAACAGTGTGTACAGATTTTTAAAAATATAGTTGTGTAGTCCTTAATCTTTTTGACCTACACTTTATATATATATATAAAGTGTAGGTCAAAAAGATTAAGGACTACACAACTATATTTTATAACCTTGCTAATTTGAACTTTTCACAGCCAAACATCCCATATAGTGATTAGTTTGGATTAGTGAAATTACAATGTAATTATAAATATTAAATTGAAAGGTATAAAAATGAAAAATTCTTAGTATTTAATTATTTAAAAGATTTATTTAATTTTTATTACTTTAAATAAATTTAAACATGAATTATTCTTACACTAAAACACTAACACTTTTTTGATTTAGGTTGTTTGTGAACTTCCAACGAGCGATCAGTGGTGTTTTGATGTAGCGTGGTGTCACAGAAATCCTGCAATAATTGCTAGTTCATCATTCGATGGTCATGTTAGCATCTACTCTCTAATGGGTGGACAGCGACAAGTCAAAACGAGCAGTAAGGTAATTTATAGTAAATTAAATTTTTTACTTAAAAACTAAATAGTTCTTATAGCTTTTTGCAAGGAATTATACATGTTATTGAATATAATTAACTACTATAACAGTTATAAATAAGTATAACTAATAAAAGAAACACTGTCTTTTAGCATTGTGTATTTTAATATTTAATAAACAGCTAAGCAAGTACTTTCGATATTGTATAAATGTCATCTTCAGGAAAAGAAGAAAGTATATTGAACATTTTATATAAATTTTTAAAAATATTCTGTCATGTTTTTAAAGAAAGAACACATAGCAAAGACTATAATTATAGGATTGTATGATTAATTAGCTCGTAAGAATGAAATGTTTTCTGGTTTTAAATTAAATTTGCTTTGCAGTTTATCATATTTTTTTTAATTTTATATTTTAAATAAAGGCATTTTAGAAGCAGTTAATCTAGTGTATGATATTTATATTACAGAAATGATAAGTTTAATGAAAAAACTTAATTTTTCAATTAATATAAAAGATTAGAATTAATATATTACTTTTATTATTAGATAGCAGAATCGTTTCCAGGATCGGACACTTTCGCTCAACCTCCCATCCCACAAAATACTACACGTCAAGTTTCAGTTTATCTTAGAAAACCGCCCAAGTGGCTAAGAAGACCTGTTGGAGCAAAATTTGGTGTAAGAAATTTTTTTTCTTATATTTTACTAAAAAAAAAAAATTTATAAAAGATATTAAAATAATAGTATTTTTATTATAGTTTGGTGGAAAATTGGTTATGTTTACCCACGAAAAGAAACAATCTGGTCAGCAGTTGCCTCAAAATATCGTTAACGTCAGTAGCGTTATTACAGAATCGGAACTAATTAATCGAGCGACCAAACTTGAATCGGCTCTAAGTACGGATAATCTGAACGAATTCTGTCAAGTTAAATTAAATGAGATTTTTGATAAACAAGAGAAATTGACTTGGGATTTTATACAGGTTATTTAGTTTGATTAATATGTTAAATGACTTATTATAAAATTAAATTACATTCTTTAACTTAAGAATTTTTGCTTCTGATGATGATTTCTGTGAAATTTAATATTTGTCATTCAAACTTTTTTCAGGCTATGTTGAATTCCTCACCACGAACTAAAATGATTAATTTACTTGGATATAATTCTGAAAATATATCTAGTCAAGTTAGTTTTAGTTTCATGGTTTGATAATTATCTGTTCTATAAAATTCTTACTGATATTTGATTTATAATTTGCACAGATTGGTAAAATCATTAAACAAAAGGAAGGCAAAGAAAATAAAAATGATTTTGAATCAAATAAACTTGCTAGTCAATTATCTTCATTAAATGTAAGTATTAAATAAAATATATTAATTTACTTTCAATAATCCAAACTAATTAATGTTAATAGTGTTCAGATTACTGAAGTTTAAATTATCAAAAATTCAGGAGTGATAAAAAGTCAAGAGTGATAAAAAGTGAAAATAATAATTAAAATTTTAAAATAAAATTTTAATTATTATTTTCATGCCAACAGTATTAAATTCAAATAAAACTGTTATATTATTTAAATGTCACAAGACAATATTATTTGTAAATCAGATTGCAAATTAATTACAAACTAAAGAAAAATATACTATAGCTTATAGTAAATATAAGCTATAATATATTTTTCTTTAGTTTGTAATTAGTCTTTGATTTCTTTTGTTTTAATAAGAACTGTTTTATTATTTATAGGAATAAATTAACTTAACATCAGCTGATTGCTATAAATATTGAAAAACAGTTCTTATTACATTAAGAAAGAAGCAATTGAATTTTCAAAATTAAATGAAAACTCTTAATACATAGGCAAATAACAGCTTTTCATCTTCATAAAGAATCTAAAATAAATTAACAGTTTTCATGTTTATTATTCAACCAAAAATATTTTAGTTAATAATAAATTAAAACATGATTTCTTTTTAAATTATTAATTAAAATGGTGATAAATCATAAATATATTTAGTGAGGGATTATCATACCAATTAGTAACCAATTATGCAATTTTACAGTTTTTATTTTTCATTGTCCATCTTAAATTAATACACAATAAAAAAAATTTTTTGCTAAAATGCATTTCGGATTTAAAAATTCCTCTTCATTTGCAAATCAATTATTTTTTTCCATATTTTACTTTGGATTATCAAGAATGTGTTGTTTATAGATTTTAAAATAATGTGTAATTTTGTATAGTGAATTTCTTCATCTGTAATAATACAGTACATATGTGTGCATTCTTGTATAAAATTTTCATGTTTGTGATCTTTTATTATTGATTCTCATAAATATATACATTTGTATTTAAAAATCTGTTTTTAATATTACGATTGATTTCTGCTTTGTGTATTACTGAGGATATTTTTCTAATTCATTTTTTTTTTTTTTTTTAATCTGTTGTTACATATTTGATTTTGATGTCTTCTCTAAGAAATTCATATTGGCAGTGTCTGAAATTTTCGAGTTATTAACCAATATTTAAGCAATGAAATGTTTCCATCTACCACAGAACAAAAATGGTTCCGTGTTGTTTTAAATACAATAAAATAATTACCTATACAAAAATATTTAAAAATAATAAAAAAGAAGTAATTTGAAATTTCAGTTTTTTTAATAAATATTCTTATTCTGATCTAGTAAAGTTTTAATTTTAATATTTTTAAACCAGATCTTAATTAAAATTTAGTTTATCTTAAACTTACTTATTAATAAAATATTTCTTACAAATTTTAGGTTTCCGAAGAAATAGAATCACACAATGAAAATACCAATGTTTTTGAAATGATTGCATCTGAAGGAAAAGGAGTTGACAATTCTCCATTTCTTATTACTTGTAGTGAAGGTTTGTTTAGTGAATTTATTAATTTTATTGCTGAGTTAAAAGTTTTTTGTTAAATTAATCATAATTTTTCTTATTTTCTCTTTAGATTCTGATGAAGACTTATTAAATCAAGCTCTCCTAACTGGAAATATTAGCGAAGCAGTCGAACTCTGCATTATGAATAAACAGTGGGCAGATGCTCTAATTCTCGCACAAGCTGAAGGAAAGACCTTGCTACAAAAAACACAGTCTAGATATTTTAGAGCAATGACTAGTATTTCTTCCAAGGTATATTGATTTAAATCATTTTTACATAAAAAATAAAACAAAAAGAACATAAACATAAACAAACGAACTTGATTAAAACAAATTGCAAATATTCACTCATTGTTAACATTAGCCATATTGATGAGTGATGGTGATGGAAGAGAGGACAGATCCATATTTTAGATTTACAGTAGAGCCTCGATTATCCGACCCCTGATTAACTGACCGTCCTAGTCGGCAACTTTCAAATGTCCACTAGTGATGTGGCGCTACAACATTTGGCTATGTCTTGGCCACTTTAATATTATTTTTACGTGTTTTAACTGGCAACACTCATTCAATCATGAAAGGGAGCCAGTATTTAAACGAGGCTTAATTTTCTAATTTTTAACGATACAATAGCGACGATTATTATTTTAAAAAATTTTTGTTAGGCTTAACATCAATGAAAATTCAACGCGAAGCAGGTTAATAGCGATATACTAATATACTAATTACATGGGATATAATAATATACAGTCGATCCCCCTATAAGATCATAGATACATTCCATTTTTTAGGAATCCGATTTCTTACGAGTCGTTCCAATCACAGCCCAACACGTGTGAAGTTTACAGACTACGGCTGATTGAAAGGTTTTCTTCCATAAAATTAATCGATTCTAGACTAATCTGACTCAACATTTCCAAAATACGTATATTTTTTTTGGAAATAATCCGTATAAACTACGCTATAAACAAAAAATTGTAGGATTACTTATCGAGTGTGCACCATTCGACATCGCCATTGCTCAAGCTTGTTTTCGTCGCGGAACAACTCAGCAAACCACGGCCGCGATTTCTGATGTTATTTTTCTGTGAAAACTTCTTAGAACTTTGGAGACATCATTAATATAAATAATTTTAATCGCCGTTGAATAAGAAATGTTTCTTTCACAAGAAATGTATAAAATTACAGTACTGTATTAGACTTACGGTACCTAATTTACATACTGTACAGACGATAGTTAGCGTAAAATCTCCGTAGCGTGGCGCCACGCTAGACGGCGGAAATTATATATTTAATTATAATAAAGTTACAATAAGTTAATATATAATTATATATACAGTACCTAATTTATATATAATTATATGTACAGTACCTAATTTATATATAATACTGTACAGACGATAGTAATCTCTCCGTAGCGTGGTGCTACGGACGGTGGGAAAGTAGTTCGGCTGCCCGATGACGTTTTACATAATTATAGGAGTTTTTACGGATACCGTCGCAATTTTTTCGCAGTTTTATAGGAATCGTAATTATAGGGGGGTCTACTGTACTACACTAATAATGGATTTTTTCATACTTTTCGGTTATCCGACTTTTCAATTATCTGACCAACCCCAGTCCCCAATTGAGTCGGATAATCGAGGCTCTCAAACTGTATATACAGTTTGAATGTGTGAGTATTGCACTATAACCTTACAGATCTCATTACAAGGGATCTTTGTAGATACAGCAAACCACTCCAACGTTCAAATTGCATATAAAAGAAACTCAACTGGGTACTTCTAGATTTATGTAATGAATCTAATTCATCTCTCATTTATTTATGAAGAAATTTTTTTATTCAAGAAATAACAAAGATTTAAAATAGTGAAAAACATTTATATGCATAAGTTTCTTATTATTGTCTTTAGTTAATTTCTGCAATTGTCAATGAAGACTGGGAACATGTAGTTCAAACTTGCGATATTGATTGTTGGAAGGAAATCCTTATAGCTTTGCTGACGCATGCCAAGCCAGACATTTTTTCTAAAGTTTGTGGTAAGCATTTTTGTTATTTGTCTCTGTTTAGAAAATTGTCATTTTGCTACTTTATAATTACAAGACAAAAAACAAGATTAGTATCTACTTATTTGATTTTACATAATACATAAAAATATATTTATTATCTGCATATTTTGGACTTTGTGGTATTTGATACATTTATATATAGTAAATGCAATTTATTGTAAGCAATTTATATTATATATATATATAAAAATGGACATGTATGTCCCTATATTTCACTTTTTTGCCAAAACTACACATCGCACGTGAATGGTGTTTGTATGTGGTGGTAGCCCCAAGTCTCCATTCGTGCATAGGGGTGGTTGCGTCTCGATAGCTATAAGGGTGCGGGAGATATGAGGCTGAAAGTGGTTGAAAGTGGCTTTCTATTTCGAATTAAATTCAAACATAAAATTCGAATATTGGTTCGATTATAGAACGATCGTAAATGTTCCAGAAACGTTGAAAATAGTTCGTTTGACTGGACGTGAACAGGAGAAATAGAATCGGGACTAGGAAGTGTTAATATAAAGCGGCATGCAAGATTTACAGGCGGTTTTTTGCGCTTTTGCAGGAAATCAAACATATTTTTATGCTCATGTAAAAATTCTCTGAAAATGTCTGGAAACGGGAGACCTAATTCTTGCATTTTGTGAAAACGGGTAAGATTGGCTATAATGTAATTATCTTAATCTTCACTATCGTTACTTTTTGCCCACAAATAAAAACTCAGCGAAGCGGGTCCTTGCAGCTAGTATATAATAAAAATCAAATTTAAAGGTTGTATATACGAGAATACTTCATTTGTGTGATGATATAGAATTTTATACAGTATTAAAGACATTTAGCTAAAACTTCAAGTATTATTTTGCTTTTTCCAGAAATAATTATTTAATTTTTATATATTATTGAAATTTATTTTACAGAAAGTTTGGGTACACGACTAGAAACTGAAAAAAGTGGTAGTTTAATTAAGAATGCAATATTGTGTTATATTTGTGCCGGAAATCTAGAAAAGTTATCTCAGTGTTGGTTAAAAATTCAAGAATTTTCTTTTAATCCTATCTTATTACAGGTAAGATTTTGGTGAATTATTCTTCTGAAAATTTTTTAATAATGTACTGCTATGAATTGCCTGAATAAAATCCATATCTTTATTTATTAATATCTATACTAATAAATTTAATAGGTAATTTAAAGAATTTAAATTCAGAATTATTCATTTAATTTCGTATATGAACATGTATGAAATTCAATAATACAGATAAGAAATTTAAACAAAATTATAATAATAAAGAACAACTGGTAACTTAACTTACATTGTACTACTTTTGCACTCAAACTATTGAAAAAAAATTGCTCTGAATCCAACATTTTCAAGTTCCTTACACTGTAAAAAACTAAATTACATATAGAGATATGATATGTGTTATGTTTAGTGAAATATTTCTTTTCAACTTTATCTTTAAAAAGTAGATAGAAAATAATAATAATTTACAACGGGTCACCAAACTACAGCCCACGGGACGGATCCATCCTATGAGGTCAGTTCATCCAGCTTGTTGCCGCACTATACCATAAATGAGCTAAAATATAATTATTTATATGAAAGTATCATAGATTGTAGATAAACTTACTATGTAAAAAAAATTAATATAAGTAAGTAAAAGTGCCAAAATTGATTCAATCTGATTTTTGCATCAGACGGTAATATAATTTTTAAATAAATCAGTGAAATAAAAAAAATTTGGTGTTTTGCAACTTTGAATATCAGAGCACTTTTTGTATAAGTACAGTATCTGCAATGAAGTTTCTAAGGAAAGTGATTGTGAGCTTGCTGTAGTGATTGTGTTTATGTATTGGTAAATAAATATGCTGGTTGTCTTTATTTATTGCGTATTCAGTGTGCTGCATTGAACAAAATTGTTATATGGCCCGTGCTCTTCATCTGTTATCTGACCCACTGTAAAAAAGTTTGGTGACTCCTGATTTACAATAGTGAAGATTGTGACTTAAATTATTTAAACCAGTTGCTGCATAGATAATCAGTATAGTTATATCAAATTTAATTGGTCTGGAAGCAAAGATTTTGGAAGATGTTCAGACAGTGTAATAGGTTAATGCAAGAGATATGGGTTGCAGTCCCACTCCAGGCCAATCTTATAAAATATTTTTTAAAAATTAAATTTCTAATGATTAAATTTAACACAAGATGACAGTTTAATTACCTATTTCTAGTTCAAATTACTTAGTATCTTACTAATTAATTAACCATATTATAGTCCAATAAGAATCTGTCTTGTAGTATTTGTTTTAATATTTAAATCTCAAAAATACTTCGTTTATGATTTTTTATTACCATCTTTTGTTTAGATTGTATGAATTTTTGTAAACAAAACAACACAAATTTGTTGTTAAAAAGAAAAATAAAAGCTGTGTACATATGTTTCTGCATATTAATGTTATCTTAGTACCTTTTTTCATGATGTAATTCTTATATAAGCATTTTTACAGTATATTAACATTATGAAAACTTAACATAATTAGTATACAGATTTTATTTTGTCTGTTAAATTTATGTTCAAAATAATTACTCAATCAATATAAATTCTTATGGTTGTCATTGACAGAAAGATGTTTCTCTAAATTTTAATATTAAAAAAAAATACTACTGTCAATAACTCATTAAGAAAACTATTAATATCTTGATAAAGCCTAGAAAAGAACACAGAAAATATTTTGATGATAATGAGAATTAACATTTCATTATATAAAGTAAGAATTAAATATAAGGCTGTGTACAAACATCATAATTTATATTTATAATTGTTAACTTTAGAGATTACATGGATAAAATTGTTTATTGAATTTTATATTTCATTCAAATAAACAAATAGCTTTATAAATAAATAAGAAAGAGAATTCTTAATATGATATATTTATTAATTCATTATTATAGCATTATCCTGTTAATGGAAACTTTAATTAGTAATTACTAAGACCAAAATATATGTCAATGTGATTCTTATGATTTTTAAAACAATTTTTACTAGGGATTAGTCGAAGAGATCATGGTTTTGAGATGTGCAGTCGAAAGATTGTCTGGTGTAAAGCCCATTATTAGTTTGGGAACACTTTCCAGTTTATTAAATCAATATGCAACACTGTTGGCTTCGCAAGGTAGTCTGTCCATTGCTGCAACTTTCTTGGTTGATACGCAAGAGGTAAGAATGTATACACATTTATTAAATGTAAGAATAAAAAATACAGCTAATTATAATTTTATTTACTTTAACTGTGTAAGATAGTGATTTTTTTTTAATGTTAAATCAACGAATAAAAATGTATTATTATACTCTTTTAATTAAGTAAATAGCATTTTTTACATTTTCAAAATATGTGGGTCATTTCGTAAGTTATGGCAACTAATTTGAGAACTGTTTTACTTTTAGTTAAGATGCAAAAGTTGGCTTTGAGAAATATATGGAAGAAGAACCATCATTACATTTTCCTTAATTAGTTTCTGTCAATACAGTAGACAAGTTTAAAAGAATTATACTCAACAGTATAAAAATAATTAATTAAACCATTTTATATATACTACAGTATACAAAATTAGATAAAAGATAAGTAACAAAAAAATTCAAGCTGCAGAATTGGAATCAAAAGTAATTCTTGAGTTACCAAAATCAGACTCGATAAAAATAGATTGATTTCCAACTTTAAGAGTTTATGGTTCTGGGGAAAAACAAAAAAATAAAACTAAAATATGATGAAAAACATAAAATATGCAAAAGATTGAAATAAACCAAATTAACACAATTATAATATTACATAATGTGCTTAATAAGTATTTTTAGACCCAGTTAAAGTCCATAAAGAGGTGATAAAAGTTCAGATGACCATGACATGGATGGAGAGCAGAGTACTTTACTAACAGATATTGAGGGTGTGTTAATGTAGGCAAAGCAAGGGAAATAACAACACCCATAAATCAGGTCACAAGCTTTCTTTCATTTGTTCGTGATACAGACGGTGGACTTCACTCTAGATAGTTCTTCACTCATTCTAAGAGAGAGAAAATTTGTGCCCAAAATGACAATCTTGCTTCCTGTCTTTTGGAAGTCACTCACCAGCTGGAAAATAGTTCTTTGGCTACGGCCATTGATATTTGCCCTATCTTCAGGCTTTCCTTGTATTGTTTTATTCTGGTTGCTAGTTTACAGTATATGCTATTCAGATAGAAGACTGTGGTGTTGTTGCTGTTATCTGTGACCAGTATCTTATATATTCCACTTCAATGTTCTTTAGAAAAGAGCTCTTCATTTTGACTCTGACTCTTATCTTTGAAATCCTAGACAAGAGGGTCAGAGGCTCGATGTGATCCTAGACAATCCTCAGACTGTGTGAACAAATACAAAAAGCTAGCAGTTTCTAACAGACTTGATTTACTACTATGATTATCCTAAATTATAATTATTAATAAAGCTATAGTTTTTTTAATGTTTGTTTTTAATCTTACTTTAATAATTTAAATTTAAATAGTTTCTTATTTAAGATGTTTCAGCAGAAACTAAATGATAGTTCATAAGAGTGAGTGAATTTCTTGCATTAAGTATGTTAAAAAAAAAGTTTATAGTATTATTTGCTATCATTTTAAATTGATGTAATTATGTTAATTATTTATCCAAGAAATACATGAGGTACAACAATCTCAATAGAGTGACCATTCAAGTTTCATCTCCCACCTGCATTCAAATCTCTACTAACTCTAGGAAGTGCCATAAACAAAACTGGCATCTCTGCAACGGAGAAGGCATATAATGTTCTGCAGTTCACTAAGTTGGAATCATCTATTATTGTGTGACCTAAGTAATCTTCAGGAGCTGTAGAACATTGCCTGCTGTGGGAAGAATGATGACGTATGCTAAATCGAGTGTAAGAGGAATTCAAGGATCAGTTGGATGCGTGCTGTGTGACGTAAGGTACAAACATCGAGAAACTGTAATGGATGAATGTGAAAGACAGACAGTTTTTTCAGTCTTTTAATGTACATTACAATGTTCTTGGATAACAATTAACATGTTTACAATAATTTAAAATGGTGGCATTCTTTTTGGAAAACTTGTATTATTATTGTTAATGTCTTCTTATACAGTTAAGGCATGAAATGAGAAATAGTATGACTGTGATGAGATTATATTCTGTGAATCAGTAACTTTATGTTGACTGTAAAATGATCTTATAGAACTAATCTTCTCTCTGAGTTCTAAGTTATTTATAAATTCATAACAGAACTTAAAACAGATTAATTTATAATTATTTATATAAGTGCAATTATTTTATCAGCAATCTACATTGATTCTGAAAGATAGAATTTATCAATCTCTTGGCCTTCAATCGACACAAAGACCATTTCCTCAAGTTAATGTTAAAGAAAATACTATGCATCAAGTAAATCCACCAATATCAAAGTCAGTCCCTCAGGCACAGAATTACTCTTATGTAAGTAAATTATAATTTTTTCTTTCTGTTGATCCACAAAATAACATTTAATTTTTAAATATTTTAAAATTATTAGCATCCCGTTTCTCAATACGGACCAACGACCATGCAGCCATCTTCAAACTTTAATTATCCACCGGCGAGTAACTTTCAATATCAGCCGATGCAGCCTCCTCCTCCTGCGATGCCGCCTTCGACCGGAAGCCAACCAGGGACACCCGTTAACCAGACAGCACCGCCGATTCCACCTGTTTCTGAAAATATGAATCAAAATATTCAAACTAGAAGTAAATATTTTAAATTAAATTCTGTTTTTTTTTTTTTTTTTTTTTAATCTAAAGTTCAATTTTTAAGTTTCTGGAACTTGCAAAAATGTATAATTTGTATATTTGGAATGTCTGCTAGTCAAGAAAATCATGAAATCATTAGAGAGGGTCACAAAAGATTTACAAATTTTTTAATCAGTAATTACCAGAAGAAATTTTGCTGTTTTACAAAAAGGAAGAATTGTTTCCACCTTTTGTTGAACATCGGATAAGCATTTTGTATGCACGTATTATGTGCAAAACTATTTATCACTTAGAAAATTGTGTATTTGGATATACATGGGCACTTGACACAATGAAATACACATCCAAATCATATACAGATGGCAAACATTATCAGAATAAGATGGAAGCCAATAACGGCAAATTGTTTTCAATGCTTGCTTCACTTATTTATTGAACACAGCTTCTAATAAGAAAGTATGTTTATTAGCGGCTGTGTTTTTTGTATCTTGAGAAATCAGTCGATCCAATATTCTATTTTTCACTAGTGGAAAAATACAATATATTTGGATGCTGATGTGATTTGGAAAACAAAAATTTCAGAAATGATTTCATTGCTGATGCATTATTTGCGCAATTTTCTACCTTTTGCCAGTGCTCTCTGCATTAACTAACACACAAATGTAAAATTTGCACTCCTTAAAATTGTGGCATAAACAAAGCCACAAACCAAATATTTCAGGATTACAATTGCCATGTAAATTAAATGTATTAAATATAAATTTAAAATTTTATATTTATAAAAATTAATGAGAGATGACATTAAAGTTATAAATGACATTGCACGTGAGATCTGTAAGTTGTATGCAATACTGTTTGGTCAACAGGTATTAAATGGACAACTTATGGATCTCGTATGCAATGCCCATATGTATAACTGTAACATCATTACAAATTTCTTGTTGCACGGTAACTTTTTAGACAATCCATACAGAACTTTTTTAATAATTCAGCTCTGTTCTCTATAGATAATGCTTTCGGTTGCATTTGACTGATACTGGTAAAAGTAAAACTAACTTCAGAATAAAAGTATCTGCTTATTGTATTGATATTACGTACACTTTCTGTTGCAGGATGTTTCCACAGCATTTGGTCTCAATTTTTTTATTCTGTTTCTTTGATTATTCTTAAACAGTAACCAGTATATGCAACCTATCTAGTTATGTCTTATATTGTATACTGAAAGACCTAGTCTGTACAAGAATTAAGAGGTTTTGGTATTGATTATTGATCTTAATTTTCATGATCCTAACATACACTTGTAAAAATAAACTGCGCATTTGTTTACATGTGTGAGTTGGATAATAAAAGTTAATTTTTATCACGAATTTTCTTTCATCCAGACTAGTAGACACACTATTATTGCAAAGTTGAAAATATGTAATAATTATTTCTTTAACTGATTTAATTAAACGATATAACATAGGTCACATAGGTCATCGTTATCCAAGTCATCTTCACGATCCTAGCGTGTATACGGAACCGTCTTATAATCAGTCACCTTATGGCTACGTACCACCTTCGAGTTCTCATATGCAATCTAATTACATGCATCCGCAATCTATCCCACAACAGAGTTATCAACAGCCTGAATACTCGTAATTATATCATTATTATTATTCCTTATTTTACTGTACAAATTTCAAAAAATGATACAGTTCAAAGATATTTTTTATATTTTAACAGCTCTCCTCCAACATATACTTTGGCTAATACTTCTATATATGCACCTAATTCTATTAATGCTCCTGGTAAGTTTTCTAAATTTTTTTTTAAATATATAAACTCTTAATATTTTGTAAATCTTGTATTTACAATTATAAGTTTTTACACTTAATTTGTAAATGACTTTTTTAAATCAAGTGTAATTCTTAAGTATCTTACAGTTAACTTTAAAATGTCATAGGAAGTTAGGAAAATATATTTTCCTTCTGTTCAATACAGTGCATTTTCACTAATTCAAGCAAGTTTGTTCATTTTTCTGCTAAATGTTCCTTCTGGAAGCATTGCCTTCCTTTTATAATATTGTCAATATCTGCTTTTATGATACTAGTCTTAATGCTAAGAATGTTAGTTAATTGAGAATCACTCAACCTATTTCTTTCAGCAGTTTTGATGCTTTTAATGCATGAAAAGAATTGTTCACAACAGTATGTACTACCCCATACGCATAACAGTTCTCTAGATAAAATAGTTTTCTAATACCAATTATGTTGTCATAACATCAAAGTGTATCCAGTGAAATGAGAATAAGTTTTACGACACACTTAACAAAATAAATGAAAATACAGGTAACCCCGTATAACATGGCACTTCTATAGCACAGGTTCACTCTAACACGGTTCGGGAATTGGGTAAAACCCTTATACAGCATGAAATGTAATAAAGGGTGCGTTCTTTTATATCTCCGCGTGAGCATTCTAATTTTTTTCGTGGCTACTTTGAATGCTCTTTCAACAAATGATCCATTTAATGGTTAAATTTTACAATTGGAACCCTTCTTTTGCCTCTAAAAGCTTATTTTAGAATTATAGATTCCTCCGTCACAATACTATCGATAGTGCGGGCGCCGCCATCTTTCTTTCACCGTCGTTCCTAAATGCCTACAAACAACAGTGTACTCCCATTGCAGAGCGACCGCTATTAACGAACGTACCCAAAAACTGTTATCAGTTGATGATGCTCATGCTGAGATCATCATATAGGATGAATAATCCTCTAGTAAAATATTTACTTAAATAATAAATAAGTATTTTACCCATGAAAAAAATGAATAATAAATCCAATTTAAATAAGGGTTTAACAGCATGTTTTTTAATTTTTGGAACCTAACCCTCCTTTTTGCACTAGTTCTTTGTTTTGTATAACACGGATTTGCCTAACATGGCTATTTTTTGGAATGTAACTCACGTATTATATGGGGGTTACCTGTACATCTAAAAAATTTAGAGTGCAGTGGGCTACAGGCCATGGGTTGGACATCCCTGTTCTAGACAATACGGATAGGCAATATAGGATATCAGGATACCTATATCACCTTTTAGAAATACATGAAATCCGTGTCCTCTATTTATATTATATGTAGTTAAAATACTACTATTTAGTTACCACTTACTTCACTTAAGTGGTTCTTTATGACTGACTACGTAAACAATCATTTAACACCTTCAACTTTATGAATGTATCCTTAGCTTTCGGTTGCTTGTTTTAGGTTAAGTTTCAAATTACATTTATTATCTATTTGTGTATCACAGTGCATAATAAGTAAACTTACAAAAATATTATACACACTAGGTGGAAGAAAGTACCGACACTCTTACAGAGAAGGAAATGTACTATTTATTTCTTGAATTTAGTACACGGTCTGCCCATGTTTGGTCTTATGGTTACTACAACCCTCTGAGTCATGCTTTCCACTAAGTTCTGTTAATTATTGGCAGGAATGTTTCTCTGTTCTTCTTACAAAATGACTGCAAGCACCACTGTCAAAGAAAGTTGTGTTTTATGAGATCTGATGCAACATCCTAGCTCATCCAAAAGATGTCCATTTGAGTTCAAATTAGGATTCTGAACAGGGGAATCCAAAAGTTGGACCTTCTGCTCTTGAAAGCATACCTGGCTAATGTGCGCAGTGTGGCATGGCACTCGGTTATTCTGGAACACACAGGGATCTGTACCAAAATACTGCCAGATTTCAGGCAGTGCTGAATTGCCCAAAATGACTTTGTAAACATTGGCATTTATGGTGGTAGACACCAGAACCGAAGGACCCAGACTGTGCCAGTAGAAACAGCCCTAAATCATCACCAGTTCTCTACCACATCATAGTGTGGGAATAATAGTCACAATTGAACTGTTCTCAGGGCAAGCATTAAACCCAAAACTTGCCATGTAACTGGTAATTATATAGCCTCATTTAGTTTTCTTCCAATCATTTGTGGTCAGAAACGTCATTATTTAAATCATTGGCATCGTCTGCTTGCACTGGATATAGATATTTGTGACTTGTGGGCAATACATTTGCTGTGATAACTGCATCTGTGCAACTCCCACCAGACATTTTTGTCACCGATTGCTAAATTTGTACTTACTGAAAGTTCTTGGCATATCAGCAGCTGCTTTTTCTTCATAATTTGTACTAATGCTTCCTTCCCATGATCAGTGTTTCCAAGGCTGTCCATCTTGATATGTAGGTCCACATGCTCCAATTTCTTTCTATTGGATTTTAGAAATTCCAGAAGCCAGGAAATGCTATGTATACACTGATTACTGTGATGACATCCAATAATCATGCCATGCTGAAAATTGTGAGCTTCTTTCCACATAGCATTTCGACAAATACTAAGTTCCAGAAGTGTGCAAAGTTATACAAATGACATGACCATCTGATCACAAATCAAGCAGAAGGAAATTTTCTGACCTTTTGTCGGGATGTTAATAGTACTTGTCCCATTTTATTAGGATGTCCAAATACTTTTGCCCACTTAGTATAATAAGTGTAAGTAGTATGTACCAAGTTTATAAAAGGAAGCGTCTAGAAGAGCCATGCATGGTTTGCGAGCCACAGTTTAGCCACCATGGGTGTATATAAAGAGAATAACAATATAATCATGAAATTTAAAGAAAAATATATTTACCTTTTTACAGCAAATACGTCAGTACCTCAATCGATGCCATCTATGCCACCGGTACCACCGCCGCCATCTCAGCCATCGATGTTTACTCCGGCTAGTTATGAGGAAATAAAGTCGGCATGGAACGATCCACCGCCTTTGACAGCATCTCAAAAGGTATATTAAAATAAACTGTCAAAAATCGTAATTTCTTTTAAAAACTCTGGTGTCATTGCTTTGGTTCTCTGTTTAAATAAGCTTTATAAAAATATCTTCTCAGGTGTTTCCGCAATCTGTCCCATTTCAAGATAATTATGAAATAACTAAAGGTCCTTCTGCATATTTTCATCCTTCTTTGGCTATGCAGACGAAGGCAGCTTGCCACGTAAACTTTACTTTTAATTAGCTTATTTTCCAAGTTTTATTTTTACTATTTAACATTTTCACTACTGAAATGTTTTGATTTTTGTCCTCAAACTCAAATGGTAAACTTTACAAATGTTCGGATATTAAAAATAAATAATTGTTACGGTGTGATCTTGTTTTATGCAGTGGTTGCTTGTTGGCAGGTACTACATAAAACAGACTTTTGTATAAATTTGTTCTCTGCTCCAAATGGATAAAATTATATTCTTAGAAGTGTATAATAAACAATTTTTTAAAAAATTTCTTTCTTAATAATAAATAATAAAATCTTTTGAATGAGAAACACTGAAAACTTTCACAATCTTTACAAGAAGGGCTGGCACATGTGACAATGTAACATAGACAATTTCAAGACATTGACACCAAATGTATTAAAGTATCGAATTGTTCTATTGAACTGACAATTGCGGGAAAAGTTTTGAAGCATTTTTATATTTACAAAAATTAAAATAAACTTTGCTTCATTTACAAAATATTACACCAAATATATCAAGGATGGGGAGTCAAGGAGTCGAATCTTTTTACGGGAGTCAGAGTCAGGTATTTTTCTGATTACTCTCCATCCCCAAAATATACATCTTCAATTGTGAAAATGTTAAAAATGTAATTTTGTCAAAGTTGTAAATTGTAAAAATTTAACAATTTTTAATTCATTTACAAAATATTACACCAAATATATCAAGGATGGGGAGTCAAGGAGTCGAATCTTTTTATGGGAGTCAGAGTCAGGTATTTTTCTGATTACTCTCCATCCCCAAAATATACATCTTCAATTGTGAAAATGTTAAAAATGTAATTTTGTCAAAGTTGTAAATTGTAAAAATTTAACAATTTTTAATTGTTTAACAATGGAATATTGAAACATTATGCAAAATTCCTTAAATAAAGTCTCTCTCAACAGTAAATCCAATTAATTTTCAATCAGTTGACATTGAATTAAAATTCTTCTTTAAATTAATTAAAGGAATATTAATCTTTGTTACGTTTATTATTCAGAATTTATAATATAACTATGGTTAAAATTCCAAATAATTCACAAATTATAAATTACAGTAAACCAATTATTTGGTTTATTACAGTTTATAATATGTGAATTAGAATAAACATCCATAAACAAAACCTTTTTTATCAGTGTTGTATTCAACACAAAACCCACTAACATTTTCAGTCTCCACCAAGGCCTTCTTCAGGTGCTGAACTAACTGGTGTCCCCCTTGGATCATTAGAACGATGCTGCCCGAGTAATAAACATTGCACATATCGTGTTTCACCCCTTCGGCGGTCTCCATTCAAATTCCTCGAACAGGTATCTCCACGCATGCACAGTCGTCTCCCCGTCCTTAAAGTTGATATAGGTGCCCCCAATGTAGGCTTTATAGATCTCCCAGGTCTCCAGGTGACGAATGTGATCGACTTGAAACACCTGTCTAATTAATTTGGTGTTCCAGAAGTTTGCCCTAACTTCAGGGTCGGTAACATACACTGTCAAGGCAGTGTGCCTGTTGTTTTTGAGATCAGATCGATGCTCCTGTAACCATTTTTTTGTTGAACTCTGGCAGCATCGTTCTAACAGTCCAAGGGGGAGGACACCAGTTAGTTCAGCACCTGAAGGCAGCCTTGGTGGAGGCCAGAAACGTTAGTGGGTTTTGTGTCGAATACAACACTGATAAAAAAGGTTTTGTTTATGGATGTTTATTACTCAATACAGTGTTAATACTTATAAGATGTCTATTTTGTGTGAATTAGAAATTTTGGCTAATTAATCAGCCAAAATGTAGCCTGATAAATCCAGTTTATTTGATTAGAAATTTCTCTGGTAATTTTTTTCCTGAAATTCTAGAAAATTTTATATATAAGTATGCATCCTCTACCGATAAAGGTTCTTACATGTATTTGTGATAAAATCACATTTAGTGTGTATTTTATATACTCATTCTCTATGAAGTATACTGTTGTATACAGTCATAATGCTTTACTTAACAGTAAATTTACCTTTAGAACTCAATTTGTGAAGTTGAATATTGTAAATTTTTATAGTTAATTATGCTATGTAATGTAGTGCTTTATTTCAGAGGCAGAATAAGATTGTTTTGGACCACGATTTGAAATTCTAATGTAGGCTTCGTTCCACTCTAATCCCATCCTTGCCGCAAAGAACAGGACTTGCATCCCTGAAAACATCCTTTAGTCGTCAACTGAAAACAGAATCACCCGATTTGTGATCAAAACAATTAGTTTGATTGTAGGTCGGTCTTTTTGCTTGACACGCTTGAATCTGTTGCCTCTAGGCTCCAGTTTGGCCAAAGCACTTTGCACCATTGTAGTTCCACCACTGTTTTATTGTGCTCTAATATAAATAAATTATAGGAATTTAAACTGCCCATTCTGTTAAGACATTAATCATAAAACATTGATTAAAATAGTAATGGAACCTGCAAGAAAACTTAAAATTCTTATACACTTGCATAATCTCTCACAAGTGATTATATTTGCTTTGATTTTATTCTGTAATAAAGTTTAAATATATATTTTATTATAATACATCCCATGAAATACTATTACAGTTTATCTTTCATATATACCTTCACCTTCAGAAATCTAATCCTGATGTAACACAAGAACTTACTGTACACTCATTATATTATATTGATATTACGTAGTTCTCAATTAAAAATTGCTAAATTATTACTATTGATTCATTATAGCTTGTTTAAAAAACAACAAGTCTTATATAACTGTATTTTTTTTCTTTTTATGATACCATTTATTAAAATTTGACGTGTTCATTGATATTTTTCAGCCTCCCACAACCACTTATCAGACGTTCAATCCCATTACCACTCCTATTGTTGGAGCGCCCGTGTCGGAACCGATGCCGCCTCCACCCGCTTCCATTTCTGCTCCTCAAGGAAATTATTTTGTACCAAATTATCAAAATCAATATCAACAAAGTCAACCACCTCCACAGGTAATAAAAGCTTTGCATCACGAGACATAAGAAATGATTATTGGAATATATAGTTTTGTAATAAATTTACGAAAGAAAATTCTTTTAAGCTGTATAATTTTTAATTTAGATTTATGTAGGTTGGTTTATTTTTAATTAAAATAATAACTAATTTAGCCGCAACCACCCAAACCAGCACCCGAACCAGTGAAGGAGAAAGGTCCCATTCCGCCTGAACACCAAATATTACAAGATATTTTTGAGGATCTGCGACATCAATGCCAACAAGTAGCAACAAACCCTGTGAGTTTTTTTTATTAAGATAAGTTTTTAAACCACTAATAATTTAAATAAAAGTAAAAAACATTTGATATTATTTATCCTGAAGTTAGTATTTTTATTAATTTTACATGAAGAGCACTTTTTACTTTATAAGAAGTGATATATTTTGTGTGTGTTTATAGTCTATTAGTATGACAAATTCAATACATGACTTCAAACTTTCAAAAATTCAAATATATTAGATAGTTTGTAGTAGAAATATAGGAAAAGTTCTAATAGCAAACATTCTGTATGATGAACTTATAGCATTTACCTAGAAGCTCATCAGTTTTGTCACCTTTAAAGTAGTCCCCTTCTGAGTCCATGCATGGAATCCAGGATGCTGCTCAGCTCTGCTAGCAAATTTTCCTTAAAGGCTTCAATGGATTCAAAACGGAAACCTTTCAGAGCCAATTTTAATTTGGGAAACAAACAGAAGTCTGTCGAAGCTAAGTCCAGGGAATATAGAAGTTTAGGAATGAGTGTTGTCGAGTTCTTGGCCAAAAATTCTCTTATTGGCAGTGATATGTGGGCGAGCACATTGTCACAATGGTGCTGGATGCTCCCTCACAACAATGTGCCTGCCCACATATTGCTGCTGATTTGGAGTGTGTTCTCTCCAAGTAGTTGGTCTTTTCTTTCTCACTGCTTCACGAAGACATTTCACCAACTACATATAGTATCCCTTATTGATTGTCTTCCCTTCTGGAAGAAATTCATGGTAAAAAATGACACTTCAGAATCTAAAAAACAGTGAGCACAACCTTCACATTACACCAAACTTGTGCCTTTTTGAGTCACAGTGAAGATTTTCCCACCCACTGTAATAACTGATGTTTTGTTTCCACATCATACTCACAGACCTGTGTCTTGTTCCCAGTGATGGTGATTTTCATGAAATTTTCTTCAGACTTAGCCTGTCCTAGAAGCTCTTTGCCCACCACCATTCGTGTCTGCTTTTAATAAACCAACAACAGTTGACACAAATTTTGTCTTGAGGCAGCACATTTCCAAAATGTCAGTTAGAATCTCATGACATACAGTTTTTAAGATGTTAATCTCTTTGGCTACTTCACAAACTGTCAGGGAATGGTTGGAATGAATCACTTCATTAACTTTCTCCACAATTGAATCAATTTTTGACATTGATGGTCTTCTGGAGCGGACATCATCTTCAACGGAAGCTGTACTAATATAAAACATTTACACCACTCACGTGTTGCAGTTCTCCCTAAAGATGAATTCCCAAATGCTGTTTTTAACATCTTGTGTCAGTAAAAGATTTTTCGAGTTTAATGTAGAATTTCACACAAATCTGCCACTTTTGGACTTGCTCATTTTGGCCCAGAAAAAATAGCAAAACACAATCAACACAAATGGACATAATTCCACGACAAACGAAGATAGAACAAACTGCTTTTGGCAGACTATATACTAAATTTGCCGCTGGAGGGCCATGCAAGCTGTGTTTGGATTTGATTCTTGATTGCCACGTAATTTAAAAAGTTTGTAAACTTTCCATACAGATCTCATATGTACAGATATTATACAAATATATATAAATATTTTATCAGTTTATTGTACAGATAAAGACAGCATTTCTCACATTAACCTATGTTATAGAAGTAAAAAGATAGCAATAAATAACACTCATCTATATGCTTTTTTTATATTTTGGAAAGTATGAAAAAATTCAATTTTTATTCTCAACTTAACATTTATATATTTAATTCATTATATGAAATTTAATGTAGAGTCTGCTCATTGTTCTAATCACTTTGGGATTAGACTATACTGAATAAAAATAAATAACATCAATTAAGTGAGGCGAGTGATGGGACAATAATTAATAGAAATTCATTTTACCAGATCTAAGAAGTGCCGACTATCCCTCCGTTTGACTCTCAAACGCGACTCGTTGCTAAACTCTTCAAAATTTACAGTATTTTCCTGCTAGGACATAAATGTGCTCCACCATGTATTATCCATTTTTATGCTCGAATAATTTTATTTTTTTTACATTGTATTATATTATATTTGGAGACTATTCAATTTTCTCCACCCTTGTTTATAAGATTTACTTATTAATGTTTTACGGGTTATTCAAAAAGTCTCTTCGTAATGGATAGTGTAGGTTGCAATTGTCCCTTTCAACTTGTTAATTGGTTTCGGCCAATACTCGTTTGCCTTGTGTCATTATGGTAGCTCCGTTATCCTGTATCGAGGAATCTCACATCATCTGTAGAAGCTTACAAAGGCCAGATGGAAAGCCGTCAAGATAACTCAAAAATGTTAACTTATTCGGTAAAGAATTTGTTCTACCCGAAGTAGTTTCTATTGAATTTTTAACTCAAATGTATAGCACTAATTACAAAATCTGCAAATTGATTTTCTATTTGTCACAGCTTTGTTCCATTTTGGCACCATTTTCACTTTGCTTCGGTTAATTTGTCAGTCGTAAATTTTTTCATTATAAATATCTAATAATTTGGCAATAATTTAATTTTCTAATTTTCATTGCACCAAGATTGGAAGTAAATTGAAAATTCAAGTATTAAATATGAAAAAAATCCTATCTAATTTAACTAATATAATAATTATTTGCAAGATTATCTGCAGACTGCACTCACCTGGCGACAATACAGCTGCCAATGTTTAACAACTTTGAATAATAACACTTGTAAATGACTGTACATGTATACTTAAACTGTACACAGAATAATATTAAATTATTTGTGAAATAATGTTAATTACGCATTATTTTATTAAAATTTGTAGCCTTTTCCTCAAGATAATATTTCGATACTTGTGTACAGACAATGTCAAGAATTAGAACGAGCATAAACTAGCATGCTAGTAGGCAGCTAAGCACTTCTAGTGTCATGCCTCTCATTGGAACAAGACTGCTTTTGTCAGTTGTTCCAGGCGACAAGTATTTGACGAGAAAAAGCAAGACAGTGCTTTCCCAATTCTCTCACTCTCTCAATTTTATCCTTGGATTATTATTTTTCCTAAAATCAAAGAAGAATTGACGGGGTGCAGATTCGTGACTGCAGTTTCTGTTTGTTGGAAAGCCGTCAGTCTTCAGAGAAAATGGTTTCAACCAGCAGTATAGATACTGGCAGAAGTAGCTCGCTTTGATTGTAGTGTGGTATAAGAGTTTGCATGTTATAAATAATAAAAATATCTTTTGAGTTTATGATGAAAATGCTTAAAAGAAATTAAAATTACAGTATATTATGGTATATTTATAACTTAGTAATTCAGATAAACAGCATTAAATTATGTTTTTCATCAGACTCTACTTTAAAGACTAAAAATAGCTAAGTTCTCTGTTTCCTTCGAGTGGTCACGGGCAATCTGCATCTTGTGAGATCCTGGTGTGCATCTCTAGGATCTCGTGCTGTTATTCGAGCCTAATTACTTTTAGCTTTTCTCTGGTTAAATTTAAGCTATATATTACTGAAGTACCTAGTGTACCGATGATTGCGGAGTACGTCAGTCAGTCAAAATAATCTTTATTGTCTGGCACCGCTGAGCACAGCCAGGCAGAAATACAGAAAAATACATAGTAGATACATGCTGTTAGTCATAGAAGGGATACAATACAGAGTACGTCAGTACTCAGCAGGCTGAAAGCTTGCAATGCTGTAAGAAAAAATACACTTAGCTTGTTGGAAGTCTACAAAGTTCGCTTGTGGCCTGCATTCGGAAAAGATTGCTCGTTGCTGCTAGAATATTTCCTGATGCTCCAAGTGGTGGTGCAAACCAGTGCCAATTTGAAATGGTGATGCTCCAAGTGGGATTCATGAACCAGTGCCACTTTACAATGTTCCCAGGAAGGTGTGGAAAAAGTTTGGTACTGGTAACTGACAAATGAAAATATTCTTGGTCTACCGTATCAGCTAGTTTCAAAGCATCATTCTAGAGGATCTTTAGTATGGCTGCTCTTAATTTAGATTAAAATAATCATTTAAATTAAAATTTAAGTTATAGAAATTATTTTTAATTCTTATCAGTTTCTTAGCATTAATTTTAAATCAGACAGTTAATAACACTTGTTTATCTGTAGCAAGTCAAAAGAAAATTGGATGAACTGTCGAAGAAGATGGAAAACTTATACGACAAGTTACGTGAGAACAGTGTAAGTTTTATGGCTCTTTCATTGCGTAATTTTAAAATATATGCCATCATTAAATGCATTATCTTTCCAGTTAACGAGCGGAGTCATTCTGGCACTGCACCAAATCATCCAGTCTATACAGCAGGGTGACTATCAGGGTGCGCTTGCCATTCACAGTCAGTTGGTGTCCACTGCCAACTTTTCAGAAATTAGCAGCTTCATGCCTGGGATAAAAGTACTCTTGCAGACCGCGCAGCAGTTGGGAGTGTACCTACAGTGATCAGCCACAGATCGCATCGGCAAAACGATTATTTTTGAGACATGATCTTCCAGTAATGTTTACGGAGAAAATTTCTCAGAAAGTTTTTTACTTTAAAAAAGAAAAAAAAGCACTTCACCATATCGAGTGTGAAAACAATACCATTTATAGATTCATTTAAAATGGATTCTGTGTAAAAAAATAAAAGAAATTGGTTTAAATAAAATTAATTATTCAGAATTGTTCCTCTATGTCTAGCGTAACAATGCCCGAGCATCATTTTATAACTCACGGTTGCATTTTCCAAATTCGAGATAATCGTTATCAAATGAATAATATTTAATGATAATACGAAGAATGCTACTTATGAATTTATCTTATCTTTGTTGCTTGTAACTCACTTTATCTTATTTTTCAACGATTTACAAATTACATTCTTAAAAACTAATTTTAGGACCTGCATTACACAATGGAAACGATTCTTACAATAGAAATTATTATATAAATATTGTGTGTTATAAATCTTATGTTTGTAAGATTTAATAGGATAATGGTATTGTTAATCATGCACCGCATAGGTCGTTCCTGTTTGTCATCTAATCCAAATGTGCATTATTTTCTATCCTGTTTTGCAATTCCCGGGATTGTTTTTGACCTCGGAATAACTACTTTTAATGTCGGCATTATTAAAGGAAGGATGCATCGATAGTAAACTGTTTTTACCAGAGTGTAAGCCTGAATCTTGAGAACCAAGACCACCTTTGAGACAATTTCCTACAAAATGCATAGATCTCTCGGGTGCGTAAGGCTCATAATGGGCAAATGGGGATTACTACAGTAGTTACTCAATGCTTGTAGAAAGTTCCAGTAACGGTTGGATATGAGGACAACATGTTTTTTTCCTTTTTTTAGACATTGTTAGAAAAGATGACTAAACAGATTTTAAATTAAAAATACATTTGTAGGTTTTAACATCATTTGCATATAGACTTGAAACCGATGGGTTATATCAGTCACATGTTTGATATTCGAAAGTTCCGTTTTTATAACAGTTTGTCTTCAAATGACGACTGATAACACAATACACTCTGTGGACTATTGGTGGTATTTCGGAGTATTTCCGTAAATGTAGTTTAATTAAAAAATAACACAAATGCATACCACTTGCACACGAGACAACAGATGGTTAAAAATATTCCCATAATAGTTTGTCTATTAATGTAATGTATTAAACAGAAAAAAATTGTTTATAAAATTGAAGCAAAAATATTCTTTAAGGTAAAATAAACCACTCAAGTGTTTTTGAGCATCGATTGACTCATCAAAAAAATTGCTAATGCTTATGTGGAGAAGGTATGCAGTCGTCGTGAAGGGTAGCGGCAGTACGTATACTTGTAGAGAAATGACCCACCACTGCAAATCCAGAAAAACAAATAATGTCCACATTAACGTAGATGTTTTCAAAGTGACCTAAATTACAAAACGCAGTTGCACGGAGACCAAATGCAACAAATTGCCAAAAATTACAACGAAAACATTCATTTTAAATCTTCCCGACAAGATTTTTTTTACTGAAACTGCAAGAAAAATGGCTTGTAACCCCATTAAGATACCTTTCTTGCTGCAAGTGACATGTTTTGTTTTTAAAATTATAACTATAGTAGTTACAAAACAATTAATTACACGCACTGCTTAATTTTCTAGATTATTTTTATCATCAGAAGGTCAAATTGGTGGAAAAATACAGGAAACAGCTACGGCATGTTAATAGAACAACAGAAAGATTACCCAACATTAACCTATCGGAAAGCCAAACCAAAGAAGACTAGATGAAGAGATAGACAACAATACTAGAACTGACTAATCCCATATTCGACGATGCTAATTCTTGCTTAATTCTGCCATAAATTATACAATTAGAACTATGACATCAGTGTGTCCCAGACATAAATTATTAATTTTTGAAGATTAGATGCGTAAAATTCTGTTCGTCCATTACCAAGCAAATATCAGAAATTAAATTCAATTTTTTCTTCTTTCTGAAAAAATAAACAATCCAATGACATGTCAAAGTAATTATTGAATAAAATGGAGTTATCATTTGTAAATATGAGATCCAAACTGGAACAGGTAATACAAACAGGAAATATACATCTTGCTCTTCCGACAGTTTGGAATGGTTTTGCCAATGTTTTTGGCTTTCTTCAGAAGCCGCCTTCAAAATATCTTCTATTTAGAATGTCTGTTTTAATTTTAAAAATTTGTTATGGATTCTATCTTCAGAATGTTGTTGAAATTTTTTCAAATTTTCTTTGGGCGGTGCCAGAGCGCATGCATCAGGTCGCGTCGTCGGGTTTCCTTCTTTTTGAGAGGTTATCATGCAAATGCCATCAGTATCCAGTTTTAAGAGGACAGTGGGTGTCGAATTCTATGAATACCCCTGGTTCTTTGACATATTTTGCCAGGTGGTTGTGGTTTTACTTGTTCCGAAGTCCTGCCAACATTCTCCAATCCTTTACGGAAAGGATCCATTTGTCAATCCTGTGTATTTTAGTAGCCACTCAGTCATCTGTTATGGGGATTGAATAAACTCCGGGGATTTTGTTTACGTCCTTTTGATCCAGACTGTTTATATGCAGTTTTTCAAAACTGCTGGAAAAGCAGGTAAAGTGTATATTTTCTGTTTGTAATATTGTTTGTTCAAACTCACTTAGTTTGCAGTGCACCAAAATGCACGTCTAGCCACCTCTCGTGGCATACCATTTCAGAATCATTATTCTATGGCCTAATAAAATATTTGATATTGTGTAATTTTCCCATTGCTTTTTGAGAATAAAACGTATAAAATGTAATATTTTTAGAAATACGGGCCAAATTGTGTCTGTAGTGGTTTAACGGCAATGCTAGAATATCGAGTGCACAATTTGGGATGTCCATTGCAGTCCAAGAACCGTCCGACTCATTTTTCAACTGGTTTAAGTGTAATGGAAAGCAATCTCTTGTGGGAAATACAGCCGGTATTTCATGCGTCACTCCCATAACACAAGCTAAAATGGACTCCTCCTTTGATTCCCAATTGTATAAATAAAGCACATCTCTAAAATCTAATTTAATTGGATCCACAAAGCTGTCGAAAGCATTGCTGAAAAGAAATTATCAAACACGTTATACAGAAGTATCATTTGGCTGGCACATCAATCGGCAATACAAAATGTATTTTTAAAAAATATGTACACACTTGAACTGCACTTCATTAATTTCCAAGCTTGTATCTAGCTTTTATACTGTTGGAATTCTGTCGTAAACGAACTTAATAAATGGCGAAATTGTTTCCAAAATCAATTATTTATTAACAGATAGTCTTTATTTACAACATGACAAAATTGTTTTTTAGTTTAATACAGATAATATATGTATATATATATTTATAACTTAGATCTGTATCATAGTATACTAACTAATATGAATAAATTCATCCAATATTTTACTTTATGAAGGACTTAAACATCATACCTGTAAAAGGAGCTTTGTAATTGCATGTTAATGTAAGCGAATACCAGATAATATATTAAATTAATTCTTGAAACAATCAAAAATAGGAAACTGGTTGTGCACGAGCGTGTCGGCACCTTCCAAATCTCATTATAATCAAATACCTTTAAAACAGACCTAAATATCCTTGGCACTAATTCTTGATGTCTTTTTCTTAACTTAAGACGATTACAATAATTAAATATATTAAATTATCTCAAATATCTTTCAAACTTAACAGATTATTGCAAAAGTAAAGAGTGCTTCTCGGTATCCGTCGGAGAACAAACCGCTTTAGATAATCTTCGAGTTACAAGAAAGTTTACGATATTTTTACGATGGAAAAATACTTTTTTCGATTAAAAGTTGCAGGATCGATAGACTTCTGCCGATTCTCTCGACAACGTGCGGCAGAACTTACACTAAAACTGAATTTTAAGTGGTATGACGCTATTTTCCAAATATCGGAATACGTGATTAACTATTCGAACGATAAGTAGTCCTTTTGACGTTTAAAAATATCTATAAATTCATTAAAGATATCACTTTATATTTGATAAGTTTTGTTGCATCTCCCGCTTTTGGAATTAAGAGCCTGTCCATTGCAGTGACTACGTAATCTTCTTTTGACGTGTTATATCCGTATTTAAAAGTTATTAATTCTGGATGGCGACGCTTGCTTGTGATTTTTACGATTGATAAGAGGGGACGTTTGGCAATAATGTATGCGTAGCCCTTCTTGTTGGGAATTTCTCGGATTAATATTAATTCTGTGTCGAGCACCGCTAGACCGGCGGGATTGATGGAACCGTTGTCTTGCAGTTCCTCGCACTTGAAGAAATCGGTGATGTTTGATGCTTTCAGCCACTTCTCGACATGGATTTCCTCTAACAGTTCTTCGTCAGTCACTCTTCCTTCTTCGTGTTCATCGTCAATGCTGAAAATGGGAGCCATTCCCCTGTATCGTTTGCCCACTTTATCAGTGCTGCTGACGTGTTTTTCCACGGGATCTTGAGGATTTTTGATGTACTCCACCAGTTTGTATTTTACGACTGCAGATCGTGTTTTCACCGCCGAGGTTAATTTGTCTAGAAACGAAATCTCTTCTTCTTCAATACCACTGTCATTACCGGGAGAAGGATTGCACATGATACACAATTTGGGATTGTGGTCCTTCAGTTTTTCATTCAAATTATCTACAAAAAAGTCATGCAAGGCAGCATATCCTCCTTTCACCAAACTGATCAAAGGTAACTGTTTTTGAAGAAAACTGGCAACCACCATATGGACGTACTGATCTTCTTCCTCTCTCCCGCTACCCATAAAACAGACATGTTCGCCACCAGCCACCGATCTCGCCTGAATGGCCTGTCGTTGAGCAGCAAATAATGCCTGTACAGCAGTGTGGAAAGCAGCTGGTTCTTGTAGCATAGTGCTGGCATCCAAATGAAATGCCGTCGGCAAGTGTCCCGCGTTGTACTGTTCGGCGGGCCTACAGTCCACAACAAAATATCTAACGCCTCCGTTCCTCTCGCTCTCCGAGCTCAAAACAAGTTCATATATCGAAACCGGAAGACACAATGCCTGGGAGATGAAATCCACTCCTTCGTCTCCCTCGCCAAAAATCACGCCCTGATGGTCTCTCGCAAACGAAGGCGGCGTTCTGGACGCATAGTGCTGCGCCAAAAGACAGAAGTCCTCCACATCTTCGAATTCCAGAGCGTACGGAGCGCTCGAAAGAATTTCGACAATGGCTTGCCTGTCTTTCTCCTTACACGCCACCGCCTGTTCCTTACTATTCACCACCAGCACCAAACCTAGATAAAAAATCAAAAAGGGATCCGCGGTCTGAAAATACACGTCCCAAATGGCCATGGTAACGTTCAGGTGACAGGTGGAAGAGAACAGACTATTAAACCAACTCTCCGCGAACGACTCGACAGAAATCTTCTTTGTATCCAGAAGCGAGCACAGCTCGGGGTCGTGATAGAGCAACAGCAGACGAAAGAAGTGAAACGGGGCCGGAGCCGAACGACGCACCAGATACATCCGACGGATGGCGCAGAACCAAGAGTACAGTTCGTCCTTGGGAAGGTGAAGAGCGATGAGAGGTTCGAGGAGCTGCAACCATCGGTTCCCCGTCTCGTAGATTTCTCCGGTCACCTTGCAGTATTTGGTGACGACGGACTCCAAATCGCTCATGACCGATATCTTGTCTTCCTCTTCGTTGCCCAATCTGTCTACTAACTCTTGACAGTCCTGCCTGATGACCGATTGTTCTGTTAGGTCATAGATCTCGTCCCATGTGACGTAATCACTACTATTTTGCTTAACTCTCAAGCAAACTTCCCAAACGTTACGTCTGAGATGATCGGGAAGAGGTCGGCCATTACAGATCCTCCTGATGGTGTTTATGTCGCACTCCGACAGCAAACAGCTCTCTAATTCCAGAATCCAACTCGTTTCATCCATAATGATTGACGTTTTTCGCTTTCTTACGAGAAAACTCACCGAACATTGGCGATGTTGATGCACTCGAGGTTTCTCGAAATCGATGACAGATGGCAGAGTTGAATGCCACGTTTCATATATTCGTATCTATCAAAATATCTCGAAATATTAAAAAAATAAGACATTTTAATATTTATAATTTAAAATATGTTATTAAAACATTTATAATTTCTATTCTCGTTTCGAAAATTATTAATCCGATTTCGATAAATTTACTTTGAATGTATGTCGAAATATTTAATTATAATAATCTATTTTTTTTTTTTTAAATAAGTTAAATAAAATTTCATTTGATAAATTTTCCTAATTTATTTATGGTAAATACCATTTTATATATTAAAATAACTAAGTTTTCTGTTCGCAACTTTATGTGAATTATCGATGTTTCTTTAAGAAACTGGCAACACTAAATCATTTTTTTTGTTAGTATAAAACAGTGTTGCAATATGGCAACTCTGTTTATTAAAAATTATTTTCGAGGGGTTACGTTATGGGAGAACTTTCTACGCGAACTGAACTCTATTTAGGTGTTAGACACGAAAAAATATCTGAAAATCTCCACGTCCGGCGCAGACTCGCGGGCACGTACTAAGAAGGCATATTTTCAAGCCCGTGCTGGGTTTGGCCTGGCCCACAACGTGGGCGGCTAGACGATAAGGGACGAGGTTCGACATATTCAAGACTTGCCGCCTCCAAAAGATTTCTGAGGTTTTTCAAACGCCCAAATTCGATTTCGTGTTCTTCGGAGCAATAAATTTCGAGCATTGCATTTAATTACAGCGCTTGAAATCATCATGAGCATGCGCATTTTTCCGGCGCCATCTTTGTGGTTTCTTTACGTTTTATTTGTGTTTACGCGTACTTTTGCTGTGTTGTTTATTCGTTGCGAAAATCGCTATGGCGAATAGTTGTATAATTGGGTGTAATGCTAGTTCACTCAAGAACAAAAGAATATAATTTTTTAATTTCCGACATTATTTGTCATCAAAGCCCCCAAACTGAGGAGCTTCCACGGCGAAGGCAATCTGTGAACGACAATACACGAGTTTGTCAAAAACATTTCATTTCAGGTAAGCAATAAATGATTAGATAAACTTTGCATGAATATCATAAAGTTTGTACAAGCCGGTTGCATAAATCCTTTCGTTAATACCTACCAAATAAAGTTAAATAATTTTAACAACCGCATATTTTACTTTGAATAGATAATAACCGTGTTCTAACTTTATTTTTCACCTTTCAATTTGTTTTCTTTGTGTCTGCTTGTAATCAATATACAGTAGAGTTAATATTAAAGTGTGTTAAGCAAAGTTAATAGCTTAGCAGATGAAGAATTAGAAATGAATTTTGAACCAATTGTCCTTCCAGTCTAATTTACATAAAAGCGTGTGTATTTTTAAGATATAAATCAATAATTTCCATTGTTCATTTAAAAATAGTTAAATTAGGTTATTTTGATGAACAACAATAACATTTCTTTAAAATGTTACTTTTTACAATGATTTTTTATTACATTAGTAACAAGTAATCATTACACAGTACCCTTCAAGCTGTTCCTGACATAATAGTAAATTCTTATTTATTGTTTCTATATAACATAACATAATAACAATAATTTAATACTAAATTGTCATAATAATATATTGAAAAAGTTTTTTAACCCCAAAGGTAAAAAAGGCAACCATCACCAGACTGGGTACCAACATTATACGTGGGGTATGAGAATGGCCAAAACCCAACTGCATATCAGGTGAGTTATGAAAGTACGTAACCAGGAGGAACACAGCCACTTGAAAGATAGTTATGGCCTCTACAGATTTGTAAGCTTTCATTTTTGAATGTGTGTAGTCATAGTTTATGATGTCGCTAAATTTTACTTTAGGCCACGACTCTTGATCTACAGCGAAGATGCTGGCTTCGTATGGATTGACACCGTGACATAATGAAACTTTTTCTTCATATAAAACAGCATTACGTCCTGTCAGACTGCGGGAATAGCCCGCCAGAAAAGCATCTTTTTTAACTTTACTTATGATATAAAAATACTGTAGTTCTATTAAATTTAAATAGAAAAAAACGCTGCCAACCTGTGATGCGGAAGCTAGACCACAAACATGGCGAATGGGCGTGAGCATACGTGCGTTTTATCACGTGTCATGCGACCTTGAAACCTTTCTATAAATTGTGATGTTATTGTAAGACCAAGAAGCTCTCGTAGACTATTGAAAGAATTTGTCAAGACATTTGAAACACGTCGAACATTTCCGCTAGCAAAAAATATTCGCACCATTCAGGAGTATGGATTTCTTGACGTAAGAGAAAGAAGTTTCAAAAATGGCGGCGGTAAAGTTCGCGTGTGCTATGATATTGAAGCATTTCTTATGGAGATGAACTAAACCCCTCTGTTATTTGACAAAAGGACGTTCGTTTAAAGAAAAATCAAAGGAAATTGATCGCCGAAAGCTGTAAGTTCTTTTAATTTTTATTTTACACATACCATATTAGAATCCATAACGGATACACGGTTTTTAAAAAAGGCCCTCTTAGCGCCTATAAATCAGAAATAACTTTTAAAAATAAGTCTGGAATATTATATTTAAATCACACTACGAAGGCATATTTCTATTGTCGTAGTCAATTATTATGCATAGCGTGTGGATCCTTTCATTGAAGTCACTCAATGTGTTTTAATGTTTCTGTTAATTAAAATTTAACACATTTAAACACAGGGAAACTTTATGATTGTAATGATGTAAATTATTTGCCCGTCAGCATTGTTAGTTGACATTGTTATTCATATTCTAATAAATGCACGCTGACAGTTATACATTCTAATTAGTTAATAACACGACAACCCACATACACCAGCAATCGATTTATTATATTCCGTGAATCGATCACTTCATACACTCCATTAAATTTCCCTTATATTTTACGATAGAACGATTCAAATTATGTACAGTACCAAAATAATTACAGTAATTATAATTAAAATGTTTGTCTGAATCAATAAGAGATGGCGCCACTATGATTACGTTATTGTGTTTCACGTGTGTTAAGTATAACCTTTGATTTGTTAGAAAGTTTAAACCTTTATTAATACATTTTTATGCGGTAAATTATTCTCAGTTGAATTACTTTTCGGGCCCCATCCCCCCTTTGTGGGGCCTGACCGAATTTACAATGGATACGGATGAAAGGCCTTATTAGTACCCACGGGCGGAGAGCAAAAAATTAATACATGAAACATGCGTATTCAAACCCGTTATGAGTTATTCCCAATCTTAGAGCCATGAAAAATATAGGGTGGACCAAAAGTCGGTTAACCATGGTTAGATTGATGCCCTATTCAAATCGTGTGTTATACGAGATAATACACGCAACATACGGTTAACTGACTTTTGGGTCACTTCTATGTACGAATAAAGTCAACAGAAAAGGTTTTTTTTTAAATATATATTAAAAGGCGCCCCCGTGGCAGGCGACAGAGCTAAACGTTTCTGTTTTTACCCCCTCTTTATAATAATTTTCTCACAAATAATTATTAAGGAACCACACGCACAAATATAACAAAATTTTAATTATTTTTATTTATTCATTATATATCTACACAAATTTGGCACATATCCCGCAGGAAATTATATTTATTTATTCATACAATTTCCATTAAAGTTAAGGTGTATATATTAACACCTTGCACATTCTATCACTAGGATAAAAAAAACAAAAATGATTTTTTTTTCAACGGAGGAAAAATAAAATTCATGACTGTTTCCTTTTTCTTCCGAATTATGTGAAAATGGCGCTGCATTGTCAACACATATACATATATGTACTGTATATAAATACTGGATGGATTATTTGTGATGACAATTTCCGTGTCGATGATGATAAAAGTCAAAATTTGCACTCGAATACTGTTCGGAACTTTGTACAATTTTCCTCTTTAAATCGTCAATAAAGTTTCCTCAGAATTAAAAAAAAAAAAAAGAAAGAAACGAGGCGATTGGCTAGAATAGATTTTTCAAATTCGAATCTCGTCCGCCGATTCGTTAGTCCGGAAAATGACGGTTACCAAACGACTCAACCGGATTGGTTAAACGGGAATTTAAAATTTGTACGTTACCCAATCGTTTTATTTTGGTATAGGAATGACGTTTGATGACATCATTGAGTTTCGAAATCAATAACGAAACGTATGAATGGACCGATATAAAAAAAACGTCGTACTTAAAGGAAACGATGATTGGTTGGAAAAGTTTATTACGTTTTAACGTAGTTTTTTTTATTATTTTCTTTTTAAACTTATTTATTTGTATTTTTAAATCGAAGTTTTATATATTTTTAAGCATATATTTTATTATTTTTTTTTTTTTTAAATTCATTTTGGGAAAGCCGAAATGGCGGTCATCATTCCTAAGATTTACAAGAAAATTGCACGAGCAGATTTCCCTCATTTCAACTCATATTTAAGGAAAAATAGGGGGGGGAATAAATTGCACGAGCTTCCTTTATTTTTTTTTTATATGGGAAAAATTTATGGAAAAAAAAGGAGATAAAGGATGGAAATTTCCAGGCGAAGAAAGACTTTTTCTCTTCAAACCATCCAGGATCTCTTTGTCATACGATACTTTGTACATCGGGGTGAGTCGGCATCACTCCTGAAAATAAAAAAAAAAAGAAATTAATAATTAGAACCTGTTTAGAGTGGAAATTTTAAAAGAAAACACTGTAAAATCCGAAAAAAAATACAGGAAAAAACATGGTGGAGATAAATCCTTGTTTTATTTTTTCCATCATACAGTATTGACTTAACGCACCGCGGGTGTGTCTTCAGTCTCCACGAATATTCCAGCACCTTCGGGACACACCTGTCTTCTGCGGATTGCACTTAGATAAACAAACGACCTCTGAAAAAAGACACATGCCGAGCACGAGGGGGGTGCTTCTTCCTTTTTTTTTTCTTGCTTTATTCCCCAGCAGCCCTCCCCCCTTCATCCAATCTCCTCGCCACACACAAGCCATGCAATACACGGGGGTGGCCGATATTTTTTAACCTTTACAACAGAGATTTTTAAGGTTTTTTTTCTTTTCTTTTTTAAGTAAAGAAACGAACAGATGGATGGGCGAGTTGTGTAACTTTAGAGAGAAGAAAATGGCGGGGAGAAAGGAGAACAGCTGGATCTCTTTTAGGTGAACGTGGAGGCAGTTTTAAAACGTGTATGACCCAATAGTGACGTATCCGTCGCTCCCGTCTCCTATAAAACGTAAGGATCTTCCGATCTTAGATGTTGCACGTGCATTCGAGGAAAGATCCCCCCTCCCTCTTTGTTTACTGTTCTTTCATTCATCTAAACCAATACCAGAAAGGTTAACTGTTGGGGGAATATGCAATCGGGTGCATTAAACCGTGGATGTAGTCTTTATTATAAGTAAGCGGTCCCATGGGAGTAGGGGGGGTTTAAAATCGATTTATAAGGGACATTTCTGGAAACAATTTGTAAAAGAAAAAAGACNTTCCAAAATCAATTATTTATTAACAGATAGTCTTTATTTACAACATGACAAAATTGTTTTTTAGTTTAATACAGATAATATATGTATATATATATATATTTATAACTTAGATCTGTATCATAGTATACTAACTAATATGAATAAATTCATCCAATATTTTACTTTATGAAGGACTTAAACATCATACCTGTAAAAGGAGCTTTGTAATTGCATGTTAATGTAAGCGAATACCAGATAATATATTAAATTAATTCTTGAAACAATCAAAAATAGGAAACTGGTTGTGCACGAGCGTGTCGGCACCTTCCAAATCTCATTATAATCAAATACCTTTAAAACAGACCTAAATATCCTTGGCACTAATTCTTGACGTCTTTTTCTTAACTTAAGACGATTACAATAATTAAATATATTAAATTATCTCAAATATCTTTCAAACTTAACAGATTATTGCAAAAGTAAAGAGTGCTTCTCGGTATCCGTCGGAGAACAAACCGCTTTAGATAATCTTCGAGTTACAAGAAAGTTTACGATATTTTTACGATGGAAAAATACTTTTTTCGATTAAAAGTTGCAGGATCGATAGACTTCTGCCGATTCTCTCGACAACGTGCGGCAGAACTTACACTAAAACTGAATTTTAAGTGGTATGACGCTATTTTCCAAATATCGGAATACGTGATTAACTATTCGAACGATAAGTAGTCCTTTTGACGTTTAAAAATATCTATAAATTCATTAAAGATATCACTTTATATTTGATAAGTTTTGTTGCATCTCCCGCTTTTGGAATTAAGAGCCTGTCCATTGCAGTGACTACGTAATCTTCTTTTGACGTGTTATATCCGTATTTAAAAGTTATTAATTCTGGATGGCGACGCTTGCTTGTGATTTTTACGATTGATAAGAGGGGACGTTTGGCAATAATGTATGCGTAGCCCTTCTTGTTGGGAATTTCTCGGATTAATATTAATTCTGTGTCGAGCACCGCTAGACCGGCGGGATTGATGGAACCGTTGTCTTGCAGTTCCTCGCACTTGAAGAAATCGGTGATGTTCGATGCTTTCAGCCACTTCTCGACATGGATTTCCTCTAACAGTTCTTCGTCAGTCACTCTTCCTTCTTCGTGTTCATCGTCAATGCTGAAAATGGGAGCCATTCCCCTGTATCGTTTGCCCACTTTATCAGTGCTGCTGACGTGTTTTTCCACGGGATCTTGAGGATTTTTGATGTACTCCACCAGTTTGTATTTTACGACTGCAGATCGTGTTTTCACCGCCGAGGTTAATTTGTCTAGAAACGAAATCTCTTCTTCTTCAATACCACTGTCATTACCGGGAGAAGGATTGCACATGATACACAATTTGGGATTGTGGTCCTTCAGTTTTTCATTCAAATTATCTACAAAAAAGTCATGCAAGGCAGCATATCCTCCTTTCACCAAACTGATCAAAGGTAACTGTTTTTGAAGAAAACTGGCAACCACCATATGGACGTACTGATCTTCTTCCTCTCTCCCGCTACCCATAAAACAGACATGTTCGCCACCAGCCACCGATCTCGCCTGAATGGCCTGTCGTTGAGCAGCAAATAATGCCTGTACAGCAGTGTGGAAAGCAGCTGGTTCTTGTAGCATAGTGCTGGCATCCAAATGAAATGCCGTCGGCAAGTGTCCCGCGTTGTACTGTTCGGCGGGCCTACAGTCCACAACAAAATATCTAACGCCTCCGTTCCTCTCGCTCTCCGAGCTCAAAACAAGTTCATATATCGAAACCGGAAGACACAATGCCTGGGAGATGAAATCCACTCCTTCGTCTCCCTCGCCAAAAATCACGCCCTGATGGTCTCTCGCAAACGAAGGCGGCGTTCTGGACGCATAGTGCTGCGCCAAAAGACAGAAGTCCTCCACATCTTCGAATTCCAGAGCGTACGGAGCGCTCGAAAGAATTTCGACAATGGCTTGCCTGTCTTTCTCCTTACACGCCACCGCCTGTTCCTTACTATTCACCACCAGCACCAAACCTAGATAAAAAATCAAAAAGGGATCCGCGGTCTGAAAATACACGTCCCAAATGGCCATGGTAACGTTCAGGTGACAGGTGGAAGAGAACAGACTATTAAACCAACTCTCCGCGAACGACTCGACAGAAATCTTCTTTGTATCCAGAAGCGAGCACAGCTCGGGGTCGTGATAGAGCAACAGCAGACGAAAGAAGTGAAACGGGGCCGGAGCCGAACGACGCACCAGATACATCCGACGGATGGCGCAGAACCAAGAGTACAGTTCGTCCTTGGGAAGGTGAAGAGCGATGAGAGGTTCGAGGAGCTGCAACCATCGGTTCCCCGTCTCGTAGATTTCTCCGGTCACCTTGCAGTATTTGGTGACGACGGACTCCAAATCGCTCATGACCGATATCTTGTCTTCCTCTTCGTTGCCCAATCTGTCTACTAACTCTTGACAGTCCTGCCTGATGACCGATTGTTCTGTTAGGTCATAGATCTCGTCCCATGTGACGTAATCACTACTATTTTGCTTAACTCTCAAGCAAACTTCCCAAACGTTACGTCTGAGATGATCGGGAAGAGGTCGGCCATTACAGATCCTCCTGATGGTGTTTATGTCGCACTCCGACAGCAAACAGCTCTCTAATTCCAGAATCCAACTCGTTTCATCCATAATGATTGACGTTTTTCGCTTTCTTACGAGAAAACTCACCGAACATTGGCGATGTTGATGCACTCGAGGTTTCTCGAAATCGATGACAGATGGCAGAGTTGAATGCCACGTTTCATATATTCGTATCTATCAAAATATCTCGAAATATTAAAAAAATAAGACATTTTAATATTTATAATTTAAAATATGTTATTAAAACATTTATAATTTCTATTCTCGTTTCGAAAATTATTAATCCGANTTTTTTTTTTTAAATTCATTTTGGGAAAGCCGAAATGGCGGTCATCATTCCTAAGATTTACAAGAAAATTGCACGAGCAGATTTCCCTCATTTCAACTCATATTTAAGGAAAAATAGGGGGGGGGAATAAATTGCACGAGCTTCCTTTATTTTTTTTTTATATGGGAAAAATTTATGGAAAAAAAAGGAGATAAAGGATGGAAATTTCCAGGCGAAGAAAGACTTTTTCTCTTCAAACCATCCAGGATCTCTTTGTCATACGATACTTTGTACATCGGGGTGAGTCGGCATCACTCCTGAAAATAAAAAAAAAGAAAGAAATTAATAATTAGAACCTGTTTAGAGTGGAAATTTTAAAAGAAAACACTGTAAAATCCGAAAAAAAAATACAGGAAAAAACATGGTGGAGATAAATCCTTGTTTTATTTTTTCCATCATACAGTATTGACTTAACGCACCGCGGGTGTGTCTTCAGTCTCCACGAATATTCCAGCACCTTCGGGACACACCTGTCTTCTGCGGATTGCACTTAGATAAACAAACGACCTCTGAAAAAAGACACATGCCGAGCACGAGGGGGGTGCTTCTTCCTTTTTTTTTTCTTGCTTTATTCCCCAGCAGCCCTCCCCCCTTCATCCAATCTCCTCGCCACACACAAGCCATGCAATACACGGGGGTGGCCGATATTTTTTAACCTTTACAACAGAGATTTTTAAGGTTTTTTTTCTTTTCTTTTTTAAGTAAAGAAACGAACAGATGGATGGGCGAGTTGTGTAACTTTAGAGAGAAGAAAATGGCGGGGAGAAAGGAGAACAGCTGGATCTCTTTTAGGTGAACGTGGAGGCAGTTTTAAAACGTGTATGACCCAATAGTGACGTATCCGTCGCTCCCGTCTCCTATAAAACGTAAGGATCTTCCGATCTTAGATGTTGCACGTGCATTCGAGGAAAGATCCCCCCTCCCTCTTTGTTTACTGTTCTTTCATTCATCTAAACCAATACCAGAAAGGTTAACTGTTGGGGGAATATGCAATCGGGTGCATTAAACCGTGGATGTAGTCTTTATTATAAGTAAGCGGTCCCATGGGAGTAGGGGGGGTTTAAAATCGATTTATAAGGGACATTTCTGGAAACAATTTGTAAAAGAAAAAAGACGCCTCCCACTATTTTAGCCATCAGAGAAGATGAATTGATTCTCCTTAACTCCAAGCACCTGCTTTAATAAAGGCAACCGTCCGAGGCGAATGAGTGGAGTGCCACAACCACCTGCCACATCAACCGCATTGGAGGGAGGGAAATTTGACCAACCAGCTGGTGACCTCGAGTGACCCCTCACCACCTCGAGAACGTCGAGAGCCCGCTTTTGGGAAAAGGCTCGTCTTACATAAGATAAACAGGTGTTATACTTGCATGCAAGATGTGCCCTTGCCCTTACGCTCCCGACGAATCTCGGGGGATGGAAATTTCGCCGGCTTCCTCCCCTTCTTGTAAATTATTGTTATTTTCGACTCGGATGCAGTTTCTTTGTTTTTTTTTTTTTCTTTTTCTTTTACGAGAAATTTGGTACGTTTTTTAAGCGTGGGGGATTAATTTCGAGGGTCGCCTGGCGATTATTTTACTTGGCAAAATGTAAAAAGGGGGCTCCCTTTTTTGTCACCGTTTCTGTAATTACAAGGCAGAGGAAAATAGAACTCGCCCACAGACGATTCCTTTTGACACCTCCACCTCGCTCCCTGCCGACAGGGCCTGACGCTTCCACACCCTTTCTGAGGCACGTGACAACCGGTCATTTATAGCTTTTGTGGTTTCGTTCTCCCCTAATTATCTAACAATATGCAAAAGGGGGAGGAAGACTTTGGAATCAATGAAGAAGGTGTGGCTTTTTAGTGTTTTATTTTTTGAATTAATTGATTTCTCCGTAATACCCCATTCCTTGAATTTACAATTTGGATGAATAAATAAAAGATAAAATTATTAAAGCTGCCAAACTGTTGGTTCCTTTCATTTAATCCCCCCAAAAAAAGAAGCCTTCGAAGTCAAAATTAATGAAAGGATCTCCAGTGTTTGCCCTTGTTTCTAGCATTAAAGAGCTTCCTCCTCGTAAGTTCTAGTAAAGTTTTAATGTTTTATTTATGGAAATAAATAAATTTGAGGGGCATTAATTCGTATCGAGCAGCATTCCGGACTTATCATCATCATCATCACCAAGCGGAGGGACTGTTTCGTGGACGATTTTTCAGGATGATAAATATGTTTGTTCATTCATCACCCCCTGTCTTCAGCTGTTATAACTTTTCTATATCTACAGTTGTTCGGTATAATTTATAACTTGTGTCGTTTTTCCATAATTTCCACTATAAATTATGGAAATTTTTGCCATTTCTAATGGTGTTATGGGCGTTAATATATTCTTGTATCATTTATTATTATCATTATGATAATTGTCTGGTGTAATTTATGGTTCTTATAACAGTTCACTATGGAAAAATGTATTTATTTATTTAAATTATGGAAATTGTTCGTGGCAGTTGTTGAAGTTTTCCATACAATTTCCATTAAAGTTAAGGTGTATATATATATATATATATAAATTGAACTATAGAAGAACTTAAACTATGTTCGGCGAGTTTCTATGTTATAATTGTGCAGAGAATTGTATAATATTATGGTAATATATACAGTCTAACCTGTAATAACGGCCACCTGCCAACAACGACCACCTCTAAACGGCGACCATATAAGTAAATAATATTAATAATACGTCTCCAATCGTCAATTTCGACATCCATTCATCATCTTTCGATATATTAAAGTTACAATTACAAATTTAAAATAGAAAAAATGGGGGAAGAACCTTTTAGAACCAGGAAGATAAATGGTAGAACATGAAACAATCGTGCAGTTGTCACGTGATGGCCGCAATCACACGTGGTCTGTCAGGTGTTTGAACGACAAAGCGAATCGCACCTGTGCAACTCGACGGGTGCACTCCCTACAGTTTGCAGGTGTTGTTGGGCTTTTACGCTGAAACAAAAATGTTTTTAGGGACGATCTGAATTTACTCCATTCTTCCCTCCAGTGCCAAACGTTCGGGGGGGTTTTGACCTGCTTTTAACGAAGTTAATCCTTTCCCCCCTTTACAAAAGGCTTGTCTTGGGTATTTAACTTCTAAAATTGTTCACGTTACATCCCTTCTTTAACAATTCACGAAATCGAGAATTTAAATTGTTAGCAACACGCTATAAAGAAGTTAAGGTGTCCAAAAAAATAAATAAATAAATAATAAAGCAGGATCTTCCTCGAGTAGACAGCCCACCCCCCCCTTAGACTCAACTTTTATGACACTTATGATAATGACCTGTATGAAATTTTAAAACTTTTATGCATCCCCCCTTGTAAAATGCCTCGTCTTAGAGGCTAATTTGCAAGGGGGTGCAAGTGTACAACTTAAATTCCCTACGCGCCTGGTGGGGGGGGGTGTTTGAATGTCGTTTACTTCAATTTCAGATGATTTTTCAACCGTTTCGTCGAAGATTTACTCTGCTGACGTATCGTTTTCGTCAATTTTATACACTAAAAACCACACGAAGATCCGGATTACACAGCTGCTGAAGTACCCTGCTCTAGACAAAGGGCAAACTCTCACACAGCTGTAGGTAGAAACGAATTCCAAGAAGAGTTTTCGTTTCCTGAAAAAACATTAAGCTCGTATTCACGAAATAAACATCCTGCAGCACCGTGCTACACGGGTTTTGATAAGAGTCATATACGTGCCACAATCTCCACACATGGTAATGTTTCCTCCTCCTCGAAACGTACAAAGGAGGAGGAGTAGAAGAAGAAGAAGAAAGGGGGAACCCTGCAGGCATCGCTTCGTATTCCACTCGTGTATACACGTGCTAGTACCATTCTTGTTTACTAAACTAGCACGTGGTTTAATTAAAAGGGGGGAGGGAGTTCGAGTCCCACGAAAAATTCGCCCATGGGCGACTGGCGATGCTTGTGTTGTACGCGAACGTTGGCTTTTGTTGCTGTCTTCTGGATTTGACACTAATTTATCACGAACCCTTTTATGACAAATGGACTCGTCTGTTCTGTACGAATTGATTGTGACGTCGCAGGGGTGTACGAGGGGGTTGGAAATTTGTTTCGCTTCAATAGACTCGGACCAGTTCGAATTTCTCCTCTAATGAGTTCAGTTCGTTGAATCTAGTTTGCAATTTATGTGAATGACAAATCGTAAGTTGTTAGCCCCCGGGTTACGGACATCACGCTGTGTTTTAAATAATTTATTCACGTGAAAAAAATAAATAATATTCCGTTTGACCAATTTTTGTGACGTAGTTTCTATACCAGAGACTAATGATAGGTCGAGGAGATATTTAAATTTTTAATGATAGTGTTTATGTTAAAATTCGGGAATGATTTCTGTACACAAAGCTTATAAACTTGGAAAACGGGCGGAAGATATAAATTGTTAATTGCATGGTGTCAAGATCAAAGAGGAATCTTTTTTTTTTGTTTTTGTTTCTTTGTTTTATTTATTTATTTATTTAATGCTTTCTGCGAAATCGATTGATGCAAATTTTTCATCGAACGTGATGTTAAAGTACGGGTGAGTTAATTAAAAGTTAGTATCGGTTTTACCAGGCAAAACCGTAAATAATCTGAAAGTTACGTGAAAAATCTTAAGAATTTGAGAAGATTTTACGCGTAAACCTTGCTTTTTTTCATGAAAAACGTGAATAGTTTGAGAAACTTTACGTGAAAACCCTGCATAATTTGAACGAATTTACATGAAAAACCGAGCAATTTTACTCGAAAACCTTGCATTTTACTCGAAAACCCTACCTAATTTCAGCAATTTTACA